GGGATTTTTTGGTGCATGCATCGTAATTTAGGGTATAGATTTAGCCCTGAGCCCCATACCACAGCATGTGGTGCATCCACAAACATTGCCGACTGAGGTGATCTAGAGGGAGAGACCCGCTTTCTCCTGGAGAACATTTGCCATAATTCTCCCCCGCAATAGGCCGGGGCCTGGCCGGGGAGTGCGAATCCTTCAGTTTACTTCTCTTTTTTTCGAGGTTGCTGTTGCGCTGAACTCTCAAGTCAAGAAGTTATCGCCCCGGCAGAGCGAGGTTTAGGGCTTGAGAGGTTGGGCGTCTAAGCCTCAATTCGAACTGCTCGGGATGCGAAGCTCCGGCACCCCAAATACCTACCCTAAACCCTAAACCCATAGAACAGAAACCGTGAACCTCATGCCGCCGACGCCCGTCAGGGACATGAACAGGCCCTCAGTCCGAGATCTTCAACTCCGACATCAACCAACATCTCCAAAGCCCAAAAGAAGCTTAGCCTTGAGGGAAGGGTTCTTGTAGTAGTAGTAGTAGTAGTAGTAGTAGTAGTAGTAGTAGTAGTAGTAGTAGTAGTAGTAGCTGTAGCTAGTAAGTTAGTTATTATAATAATTATATAACTCTTGTCACTTTGGTTTCGGATCTCGGCTTTCGGGTTTCTTGGCCTTGGCGCGCCGGGCACTGGGCGTCCATGTTGCTCTTGGGCCTAGGGCCTTAGGGTCTTCTTCATGCTCGCTCTCTTCTGCTTTTTCTTCGTCTCGTGTGTGGTTTATGAGACAAGAGTCTGAGACCTTAACAAGCCTGAAGCCTCAACCCAGAGGCCTAAACTCCGACTGCCTCAGCCCAAAACCCTCAAGGACTCAAAGCCCCTAAACCGTGCTCTCCTCAGCCAGGAGTCGGGAGCCGTTTCATTTTTTGGTGAAATTTTGCGCCTGCTGAGATGACAAATAGAGGTATCTCTTGTAGCAGGCCATTTGGTCCTGCACCGGCCCGTAATGTAGGAGCAGTTGAACTATGCAGGCTTCTGGTTCAGTCAGGATGTTCTAGAGTTTAGGGCTTAGGGTTGCCCCGTACTCTTACCATCGCAACTGTTATGGGCCAGCTGTGTCCTTCTCTATACGCCGAAGTTCCTTGCAGTATTGAGTTGTGGGTTGTTGAAATCATGGGTATTCAGACACCCTACGGGACTGTCCTAAGAGGTCGTTCGCGTTGCAGTATTCTACCGGAAATAGAGGTCGATACATGGTTCAGCTCTCCACTGTCGGGGTCTGAATAAGTTTTCAGACGAGCCATTGTTGTAAAGTTACAGCAGCATATTGCTACATACGCCCTAGCCTCCGACACTGCAACACTATGTCTATAGCCCCATAGGCCTTAAGGGAAGCGCGCACCGAACGTTCCACAATCAAAACAGCATCATGCGCACAGTTGGAAGCCATGATTCATTCCTGAGCATAAGCTATGCTTTACACTAAGCCCTGTAGATGCTGAAGCTAGTTTCAACTCCAACAACCCTCGACGAAGCCCCCCGAACCTTACAGACCCAACAGGGATCAATTCAAGGCCGGTGTTTGGACGGGAGAAATTGCCTGGGGGCCGCGGCTCCCTTCCATCGGAGGGTCTGTCGCAAAAAGGCCTTCCTGGGATGAAAACTGTGCACGCCGAGGCATAGAAAAAGTCTTCTAGCATAGCTGCATTCAAAATCATCCACACATGATCGGACAAAAAACCAAAAGAGAAACTTAAACTCTTAGCTTGGAGAATGGTAGGTTCTCGGGGCTGCCAGGGCTTCGGGGGCCTGCAAAACCCTGCGGTATATTCTATGTTTGTTCATCTATATATACTTAGGTTCGTAGACGAATATGGAGAAATATCAATACTAAAATAAACCAGCTTTCGGGTTTCGGTGTTTCCCGTCTGATTGCGGGTTGTTCTGTTTCGCCACCCGCATGGTCTCACCGCGGATTGTGAACCCTTGCGCAGCAGGTAGCGCGTGATGAGATTTCAGCGCACGCCTGCCGTCTACAAATTCGAGTCAAGATTTCGGGAATGCGACTAGAATTATCATATATGAACATGTGAGAAACGCACATAAAGCCAACGAGCTCAAAGTGTGCTGGACTCGCAGCTCGCGGCCTTTGTACGGAAAGGCCGCGGCAGTGCAAAATTTTATAGAGCTTGCGAACTGCGCCAGGCATGGTTCGCTGCACAAGGACTATAGACTTTAATGGTATGTATACATATATGTGCATATATATATACACACATGTACACACATTTCTGCAAGTGTACACACATATATATATATATATATGTAAATATATCGAGAATATGTACCAAGTGGAGAGCTCTACTGAGGCCTAGGATTGTGCTTGAGGTTCGGGATTTTCCGTTTGAGCGGTGCTTCCTCTTGCGAGAAAAGCAAGGGCGCCTGTCGCTGTTGCCATGCTGGTGAAGGGACAGTATATATATATATATATATATATATATATATGTATATCCCTGTGCTTCTGCGGCCACACTTTCCAGGCTGTTCCAAAAGCCGTGTTTTACCCTCAAGCGCTCATACTTTACCCGACAGGGCCATATGGATATCAAGCCATAACGTCGATGTAAGCAGACTCGTTTGCCCCGACCCCCGAGCACGACAGAAGCAATGGAAGCGGACATGTTTGGCCTCACAGTTTTAAAGTGCACAAAAATGGAAGCAGACATATTTTCCCCGACAGCGGGCCTTAAGAGGGTTACTTGGGTGTGTCCGGGCTTAGGGAGAAGGGCTCTGACCGAGGGCTTCAAGCCCCACGGCGACCTCTTTAGTGTGGAACCTATCCGAGTGAAAGTAGCGAGTACACTGATGGTTCATAGGCTTGCCTTAGTTGTAACCACGTGATCTTGATTTTGCTAGTGTAGGCTTAACCACATTACTTGCTAGCTGGAATGGTATCCAGGCAAGACTTGCAATCCCCACCCGGCAAATTAACTTTGATGAGAAAGTCATTCCATGCAGAAGCATCGCTTCGGATATTCTTCAGAGATCTAGTTACCTCGGAACAATGCTGCCTCTGGCTAGACCCAGAGCCGGAGGCTACATAAAAGTGCCGCGAGAGCATAGTCGATCCCAGATACTGACGCCATTACGGGGACAGTCGAGATTCGATATCTTCAACGGCTAGTTTTTGTTCTCAATATCCCAGTAGCCTCGCGCACCGGCTGTTACAGCTAGCCCCATATTCCAACAGGCCTCTGGGTCCCAAATCCCAAAACGCTAGGCGTCAACCCTAGGAAGACCCAGCAGCACCCTGAAAACCTTTTACCATCCTACATGGCAGTGAGCCTTCTGACGTCATGGACTTACACCTAGCTCAGCATCCCACCATGCGCACGCTCTCGGTCTAAGGTGGGGGGGGATGGTCGTAGCCTCGTGCTATTCTTAGGTTCAGAGTTCATGGTTCAGGTTTCAGGACTTAAGCATGAACCGAAAGCAAAAGCCCGCTTGCAATCCTCACTGTGGTCCCCTCCTGTCCCAGGCCTTAGCACCGTTTTTAGCCCAAAGCGTCGTGAGCACCTCCTTGGCTCCCTCCTCCCTAAATGCGAGACATCCCCTAAGATCCCCTAACCTTTACAGCCTAAGACAAGACAGCACCCAAAATTAGGTTAGATTTAGACAATCGCACCAATAGAGCTAACTCTCCGTGTGTATTTGCATGGCATGCTGTAGGCCTAGACACATAGCCCTCCAGCCCTAAGCCGCAAGCTTTACGGGTTTATTTCAGCCCCGTGGTGCCGAGCCATGCAGCTATGTGCTGACTGCCGCCCTGAAGAGGCAGCGGGCTGTCCGAAAGCTGGTTTGATAGAAAAGCGGACTGGGAATCTGAGGCGGGAAGAGCGTGTTGAGGCTTCGTGTTGTTGACACTGTTGGATCTTCTACACTGTTGGGCAAAGACACTCTGCAGTTTCTAGGTCGGCGACTTGAAAGGCTTAGCATCGTAGGAGTCTTGCTACGAAGCGGTGTGTGAGGTTGCTCATCTATCGACACAGATTCAACTTTCATGCAACAGTGACATTGGCAGGTAGACGGGTCGATTCCAGGACACGTACACATGTCTGTAAGGGCACATGCATGTATGCATACACGCACAGGCAAAGGCACATACACGCATGCATAGAATGCACCTATAGGTTTACGCAAAAGGCTTCTCATATTGGCATGTTGCCGGACGTTCGCACCGCTTGCCACAGGCCAAGACTCACAAGCCCGACCCTATACCCTCCGCCGAGGAAGGCTTTGCCCAATGGCACAGACCTATTGATAGTACGTAGCATTATTCCTCAGTCAGGGGTGCCTAACGCACGCGGAGCAAAGCCTACAAGTTGCAAAGCAGCTCGACTGCTCAAGCAGGCAGAGCCATCCCCTTTTGTATTGTCGTTGGCAATACGTTCCGCAGCCTACACCCAATGCCCCAAGTCCTAGATCAGGAATTCACGCTGAAACCGAAAAGACCCTACCCTCCGATTCTCTCATACCTCGCAGTTTCCCCAAACTGTTCAGTTTGGCTTCGGCCCTGAAGCCTTATGAATGAGTTATTCTTTCAAAACACAAGCGCGCTAAACTCCTAGCCATAGTGTTCGGCAAGTAAACCCCTAAATCACGAGCTTCGCACCCCTGAGCCCTAAACAAATGCCGAAACCCTGGGCACGGCTCAAAACCCTGTGACTCCCCAGCCCTAAGACCCGAACACGACACCCAAAACCCCTGAACCGAGAAGCCCTGATGAAGCCCACTCAGTTCAAAGACACAGTACGCACCAAAGCTTCGGCCCTGCAAAAGATCCACCTTCTCACCATGAGCCGTCCTTAGACCCTCAACCTTTTTTACCCCCGAAGACCCTGAACGACCAGAACCAAAGCCAAAAACCCTAAACCCCTAAACCCCCGAAAACCCTGAACCACCAAAACCGAAGCCCTAAAAAACCCTAAACCCCCGGAAGACCCTGCAGGCGATCCGGAGAGACTCATGGCATTTGCTTCGGGCGGAGCAGGCCAGGGAGCTGTTTAGCGGTCTAGGGTCTTTAGGGTTTAGGGTCTGTAGGGTCTAGGGTCTTTAGGGTTTAGGGTTTTGGGGTTTAGGGTTTTGGGGTTTAGGGTCTATAGGGTTTAGGGTTTACCTTAACCCTGAAGAACCTACCTTTTAAAGGACTTTACAAGGAAGTCATAATGAGGAGCCCTAAAAAGGTAGGTTCTTCAGGGTTTATGGTCTAGGGTCTATAGGGTTTAGGGTTTAGCGTTTAGGGTAGGCTGCGGGTTCCCATGAGGGAACTGCAGGGATAGGGGATAAGGGTACTATAGGGGTTTTGGGGATGGTAGATACTAACTAGGGTTCCATAGTAGGAGTTCCGGTGAGGGTTGCTGTTGGCTGTACTTTCAAGCGTTCCTTTCAGGGGGTCCTTTTGAAGGGTTCCTTCAACGTGTCTTTTAATGGTACTATAGGGCTACGATAGCGGTTTGGGGTCAATTGAGGGTTTTAGAAGTTTCCGGCTTTGGGGCTGTGGGAGTGTAGGCTTAGCTTTTCAGTGCTCCCTGCTCACAAATCAGAGGCTTTATGCGATGTTCGGGGTTTCGCAGCTTAGAGCATTTGGGGTTTCAGGGCTGAGGGATTCCGATTGACAGGGGTCGAAGGGTTGAGGATGGAGCGGTGCAGGATATGGGACTTTGCTTTTGGTTTTGTGCTACAAAGGCTTAGCAGCTTAGCACTTCTTGGGATTTCGGGCTTTAGGCCGTGGAGGTTTCACAAAAAGTTTCGGGTTTCCAGCGGCCTATGGGACTTGCCACGCCAACGTCGGGTTTGGAGAATGGTGGTCCTCTTCGGGTCATAATGTTGACCTCGCACTTGAAGAAGCCTTCCTTGAGAGCCACAACAACCTATAGTAATACTATCTTGATGACCACTTTATTCTGAACTGCCGAAACACCGAATTGCAATCACTATAGGGTTTTTGTCTACCCACTTGGATCCTGATTGGGCGAAAGGACGCGGTGCTCGCCCATCTTCCCACTCTGGCAGCTCCGCCACAACGTGCTGCCGGCAGCTTTTTGGGGGCCTTTGGCCCTTGTGCCCTCAATCTGAAACCAGAAAGCTTATACCCATCTCTGAAACCCGTCACTCGAAACGCACTTCTAACTTAGGGTTTCAGAGGTTTGAAGGTAGCTGGCGCGCGTTTCGACAACTTGTCCGCATGTCTATAGCATAATGCACGCATGTGTGTATGCACACACACGTATACAATATGAGCATACTATTATATATATATATATATATATACGTTTATATTAACAATACTTATTTACTTGTTTCTTATGTATCTAATGATGCACTCATGTATTTAGAGGGGATCCTTAATCCTACATGCCTTCAACCCACCTCCTGAACCGCTGGAGCAGTGCCGAGCACCTCCGGGAGGTTGGGCTAAGGTCCCACCTCTTTATTTTCATGGTTTCGGATCTCATCCTAAACGCATAGAAGCCCTACGCCCTGAACCCATAGAGGCCCTCAGCCCTGAACCCATAGAATGAGGCCCTAAGCCCTAAACCCTAAACCCCACCCTACACTAAAATCAGCTTAGGCCTTCGGCCCCTAAGTCCAAATGATTGTGCCAAGGCCGCGCCGACAACACTGTTCTAACTGTTTTGGTCCTCTCTTCCCAAGACTGTATATAATCACACCCCATGAACATGCATACAGACCCCTAGAAACCCACTGATTCAGGCCTAGCTCGACCCCAACCTGCCAAAAACCTACCTTTGTTTGTAGGGTTCTTATTATGAACCCCAGTATGGAATTTTGAAGGTTCTTATGATGAGCCCCAATATGGAATTTTGTAGGTTCTTACTCTGAACCCTAACATAGAGTTTCTGGGGACTCTAGAGGAACAAAAAGGGTTGGCTCTGGTAGGTTTGTGTTCACTAGAGCCAGGTATCCTAAACCCTAGACCTTCAAGCAAAAAAAACTCTTATGGATCCCTCTGAAGCGATAGATCCCTTAAAGGGAACTCCAGAAAGTTGGAATATGGTTTCAGGGTAGGATACCCTATAATTTACCGGGCGCACCCCTATTTGGGGTCCCCTACGTTTTTCGCTACATCATCTGACTGAGCTATAGCCACCAGACTAGGTTATAACCAGCCGATTAGGTTATAACCAGCCGACTAGGTTATAACCGTTCGAATAATTTATAATCAGGTATACATTATCGATATTTCAGTTTTTTCCAACAAGCGTGCTGTAGTCATTAGTCTGGTTCAGTCATTCCTTATCGCGAACTAAATTTTGGAACGAAAAGTTTTCCATCTTTGTACTGTAATGCCGCAATCCCATCAAAGTCTCTGTTGTTGGGCGCATTGCTATGACGTTTTGGCAAACTGATAGCTTTCAATGACATATCCCTGTGCCCCTATGTGATTGCTTGTAGACACTGGTATATCCGGTAGGTATATTTGAGTGGTGCATTCCTTATTTCTGTATGACGGCTGCCCCAAGCCAAACTTGAAAACTTGCACACTACAAGCTTGGCAAACTTTGTACAGTGTTTTTCCTGGGGGACGACATGAAGCGTCGCTTCTTAGGCTTGGCACTGTTTCTATATGCTCAGAGATGAGGCCTGTGCTTTTTGTATCAGCATACCTTAACCATCACGTAAAGCTCACTGAAAACCATAAAGCTACATCTAGCTTGTCCGAATTTCTGTTTGTGTTCTTGTGAATATTTTCTGAAGGTCGAACAGAAGCCATTGTTCCCAATCCAGAACGTGCTCCTCGTTTTAGAAAATTGGTAAACACACACCGAATCACTCCTCGAAAGAGGTACATCCATGTAGTTGGAAATAGCATTGCAAGGAATTTTCTACGTACCGAGCGAGGAAACCTAACAGTTTGCAAGTTGCAAATCGCTCACCACACATATTCTTATCAGTTTTATCTCATCGAAATCCTGCTTCCTTGGAACGATGTTTGAACATAACGTTGCAACCAGTTCGCCTATGTACGAAGTGATGAAACCTGACCACGCTGTAAGCTTTGATATACTATCTCTCCCTACAATGACGTCGTATCAGTCGTATCTCAACTTTTTGTGTACCGTGATATTCCAATGTTGACAACACTTACTGACCTACTGTAATCCCGATAGAGACCCTTCATCTTCCGCATTTTGATTCCTGGGTCATTGACATGTTAGCGGCTATTCTCTCAATGTGTACATAGGTCTCATAAGCCCGATGTACTGAAACGGACAGACCATTATGTAAAGTCCGCCATATAGCCTTTCCGCTAAAGTTGGGGAATGCGCATATGGTCCCCGGAATTATGTTTGTTACAAAGCACTGCATCATGCCTCAACAACCGAATACATGCCAATTACCTCGGACCTTCTTCTAGTCCTTGTTTAGTTTCATTGCGGTTACATTTCCCCTGAAGCACCGAAACTTTCGAACGTTTGGATCTAGGTCTAGGTGTTGATGAAGTAGCGGTGGCACAGATTTGCTTCGTAAGGTTTATATTGTGCAACAAACAATCAAGGCACCCCAATTTACAAACCACAACCCTGGTATGTAAGCCCCCCGGTGTTTCGACACAGTTTACCAATATTGCAGGTTCACCATCAAGTGTTGGGTTTGGGTTTTACTGCTTAGGGTTTGGCGCTAGGGTTTGGGGGAGACTTAGACTTAAACCATTATACCGGCTCGCTTGCGCGATGCGACACGGAAGACTTAAACCATCAAACCAATAAACCAATCCATTTGATCTATAGGGCACGGCGGGAGTCTTCAAACCCTGAACGTATTTTGCAGCCTGGTTATAACCTCTGTCCCCGGTTATAACCAGGACACCTGCGTAGTAGGCAGCCCTAGACCCATCACTAAACCATTAAACCATTATCCTTTCCCGCCAATGGAACCAAACCAATAAACCATTAAACCAATCCTTTTGCCCCATAGCACTAAACCATTAAACCAATCCCTTTACCCCATACCACCAAACCACTAAACCATTAAACCATTAAACCAATCCTTTCCCCCAATGCACCTAAAACACTAAACCATTAAACCATTAAACCATTAAACCAATCCCTTTACTTCATACCACTAAACCACTAAACCATTAAACCATTAAACCAATCCGTTTGCTCCATACCACTAGACCACTAAACCACTAAACCATTAAACCATTAAACCATTAAACCATTAAGCCATTAAACCAATGCTTTCGGCCCATACAGGGATGTGTCTCTCTCTATAGGGGAAAATGATTGGTTTAATGGTTTAATGGTTTAATGGTTTAATGGTTTAGGTCCATTGGGGGAAATGATTGGTTTAATGGTTTATTGGTTTAATGGTTTAGGTCCATTGGGGGAAATGATTGGTTTAATGGTTTAATGGTTTATTGGTTTGGGTCCATTGGGGGAAAGGATTGGTTTAATGGTTTAATGGTTTATTGGTTTAGTGGTATGGAGCAAAAGGAATGGTTTAATGGTTTAATGGTTTAGTGGTTTGGGTGTGCCAAAACCCAGGGGACCCCATATAGGGGGGTACCCAATTTACCATAAAGGGTGTAGGATAATCATATTCCAACTTTCTGGCTTTTACTTTAAGGGAGCTCTTATGACCCCAAGCCAGGTCGAAGGCCTCCACCGGCCGAGTCCGAAGCACCCCCTCGTCCTCCTCACGCCCGGCAGAGAGCCCGGGAGGGGCTCCAGAGGACTTCAGGGTTTAAGGCTCGGGGTTTAGGGGTTGAAAGGGGTTTAAAGGGTCTAGGGGTTTCGAGGTTTATGGTTTAGGGGTTTGAAGGGTTTAAAGGGTTTAAAGGGTCTAGGGGTTTAGGGGTTTATGGTTTAGGGGTTTAGAGGTTTAAAGGGTTTAAAGGGTTTATGGGTTTAGGGGTTCGTCGAAGAAAACAGGTTTAGGGGTTTGGGGTGTAGGAGTTCAGGGCGTTCAGGGGATTTGGGGGGTTGGGGATGATGACGGGTGGGGGGTGCGCGAATCCTGTCAGGGCTTCAGACTCAGAGGTCACCGTTAACTGAGGCTCAGGGGTCCAAGCAGCCAAATTTAGTAGGGCCCAATGGCCATGCTCTGAAACGCTTTTGCCTGCTTTTGTGGACTTTGGGCCCAAGTGGCCCAAGGTTTGGTATTTCGAAGCTTTCCGGTAGTTTGTCCCCTTAACCGCGTGGAGTGGCGTGGAGTCACAACGAACAAGCAATGGTCCCCACAGCACCTGGTTCATTCTGGGATTGACAGATGTCCAAAGTATCAGCACTCACATCCGCGACTACTTTTCCATCACCCCTGATTGTAACATTTTCGCTCACCCTAAGCATCCATAATGCTCGCTTTGCTACAGCCTTTAAGAGTAAAGCGGGCCGCTTTCCGGTTCGAAGCGTGTTGCTCGCTCCACGTGCATGGGGTTTAGGGTTTATAAGTTGCCTGAATGCTGTCTGTGAGGCGTCGTTCTTTCCGTGTTCTGCGGCACACTGTTGTAAGTATTAGTTCGAGAAAGCCGGGGTCAATCGTCGACTGCCCTTGCGCTTTACATAGGTGCCGACAATAGACAACTCAAAGGCGCATGAAGTCTGCAGCGTTGTTGAATTCCTGGCGAAATCAAGGCTTCACAGTGGTGGGACTAGTTCGTTACGTTGTTTTGCAATGTCTTCCCTCAGGTTTCGGATGCATCTTGGCTTGCCTGTGTTAGGTAGGCTGATATACTTTAACTGTGCCTTGATGAGGACATGCTTTGCAGTTCCGGTGCAAAACCTGTAGGGTTCGAGGTTCGCGCCCAGTTAGGCGGTGTATGACATCGTGTGTTACACACCTACACCACCAGCTTCCGAAGAACAAGAACAAGCAAGTAGGGCTGCTAAGCATGTCAGAGCAATAGCAGCGCATTGAGACGCCATGGAAGAACGGTTGAAAGCGCAGTTCCAGCCACGGTTGCGGATGGACAGTTTATTAAGTTGAATCATGACAATTTCCATGGGGCACAACTTACGGCCAAGCCATAGAACATCCACGCGGCATCTGTGGAGCAGTTGTGTCTATGTGGAATCTTGCCCCAGGTTGCAGGAAATAGTACGAAGGTTTCCCAAAGAATTGCCGTTGTGTCCTTGTCTTTGATCGTTTTGGACGAGCCCAGTCACAGAGCATGGGGTTTCTCCAGATGCGGGACTAAACTAGGGCACCGGAAGTTCCCTATGGTCTGGCAGATGCATTTGTGAAGTCGATCTAGTTTAGGGAGTTTAGGGTCTAGGGTGTAGGTTTCGAGGTTTAGAGTTTAAGAGCTTGGTAAGGCCTAGGGCCTAGGGTTGTTGTTTCTAATGGAGTTTTGGTTACACTCCACTACGGTGAGGTCCCCGCGTCGGCAGCTGCTCGAGTTCGACCTTCGCAAATGTGGCTCGGCACGCAAAGCTGCTTTCAGGTAGTGTATGGCTTAGGGTTGAGGCTTTAGGCATGGGAGCGGCAGAATTTCAGTAGAGGTCCGGGGTCTAGGCAAATAAGTTCATAGTAAGGAGCCCCAAGGAACAGCGTTGTTAATTACTCAAGCGTTCATGTTCGGAGTCACTTAAACCTTAAGGCATGCCAGGCACTTCGCAGTGAGTTCCACATTGTGGGGGGATATTTACTTTGTGGGGGTTTCTACCACACTCCGCTCTGGTACGTCGAGCACTATAGAGTTCGTCAAACCCAATATGCATTCCCTTGAAGTTTTAAAGATATGGAAACACGCTTGAACCCAGTGTGTCAATCGGCAACCCTGCGTTACGACCGAAACGCCTAAACCGTGAAACCCTACAGCCCTAACCCCATTCCGGAAGCCTTCACCCATTGCCTCCGAAACCACAAGACTTACTATAGGAGCTGAAAAAAACAATACCAACACTGTTTTGAGGTTCTTTATAGTTAGAGTATAATTTATACACCTCAAAACCCGTTTATGATATGTCAGGCCCCTACATTACGCCATAGATCCCAAACCGCTGCAGCACTAAGTCCTGCTTGGTGGGTGAACAGGCGAAGTGGCGCGCGCTCAGGCAGCTCCGGCGCAGGAGCAGGGACTCAGTTCGTTAAGGGTCCAGGTTCAGGGTCTAAGTACGGCTTTCGGGGTGGGCTGTTAAGGGTGTGTGTGTGTGTGTGTGTGCGTGTTGGTTGTTGGATTTAGGTGGGTAGATGGTCTCAAACTTCGCGGTTTACAGCGCTTGTTGGTTGTGGTTGTCTATATTTCGGAAAGTTACCGAGTGATGATCTGACCTTGGAAAGGGATGGGGCGGTGCATCTTCCGCCCTTGACAGGAGATAGTGTGAACCTGTCGGATTCCTCGTTCCCGAGCTTCTGAATCCGCCATGTAACTACGTGGCCACCAGTCAAGCCTGCCGAAACAATTGAGATCTTGTTTGCATGTTGCACACACGCAGCTTATGCACATGTGTGTATGTATGTATGTATGTATGTATGTATGTATGTATGTATGTATGTATGTATGTATGTATGTATGTTTGTATGTTTGCATGTATGTACGTATGTATGTATGTATGTATGCAAGTATGTATGTATACATCGTGTATGTGTGTATGTATGTACATAGGTAGCTAGGTATGTATGTATGTATGCACATGTAGATATATGCCTATGTATGCGTGTTCGTAGATATGTATAGCACATGTACGTGTAAACGTAAGTTCGATGTTACGTGCATACATACAGTAGCCATATGTGTATACACATACATACATACATACATACATACATACATACATTTATGTGTATATCATAGCGCGATCACTTTGCGAGAGGTTTGATGCTATTTTTTGACGAGAGCACAGTCTGTGTTGTCGGTAGCAATGGCAACTTGGGAAGCCCAAGCTGTAAGTCCTAAACTGTCTAAGCGTTATAAACCCTCAAACTTAGATTTAGAAGCATTAAACACTGAACTCGAAGCTGAAACGCTAAACTCCAAACGGCAGTTCCTGTGACTTTTCCCGTCATGAGGCACGGGGCCACAATAGCTCGATCTTCGAACAGTATACGAGCAAGGCCCTACACTTATAAACCGTACTCCCTGACCTTTGAATCTGAGAGGCTCCCATGCCTACGCAGCAGAGCGCGCGGCAAGTCGCAGCCGAAGCCCGGAGGTGTGCTGTCAATGCTCTTTGGCTTGGGGTTTGGGGTTGTCCTTCTACTAAGGTTAGGGTTTAGCGGTTTCTTTGACAGTTTGGTGTTGCTGTTGCTTTCGTTGTTGTTGCTTCTGCTGCGCTTCGATGTGGGTTCTCACGCTTCAAGATGGGATGGTCATGCAGTCTTTTGCGTTTCAGGATAAGGCTTGCATATGTATTTTCCTTCGAGATTCCAGTGCTTTCGTAACCCTGATCAGTGCTACTGCGAGCATACTATAACTATGAGCACGATTTATTCCAATGCCTCCCAGAAACCCGACAAGGCCTGCAGCCCAAACTCCGAACACGGAAGTTGCAGAGCACCAACAACTCCACATCCCCGCCAAGACTCGGCAACAGAAACCCTATAACCCTGAACCGCGAAAGACCCGACTGCCCATAGCCCAAAAATACCCAGACGATGCCGTAAAAAAGCTCTACCATACCACCACCTTGACCCTGAAGCTCGATAGCTGAGATCCTACAGTCTTTAAGCCTTATAAAAAGCCTTTAGACCCCAACACCCTGCAGACCCGCTCTACTTCTTTAAAGCTTCCTTCTGTACCCGAAGACCCGGGCGCCAGGCGGCAGCAATCGTAGAGGCGGTTCCTGTCCAGGCCGAAGCTTACCTTTGGTTAGTAGGGAATGGAAGAATGGTAGTAATGGTAGTTATAATTGTACCCCATTCCTCCATTCCCTACTCACCAAAGGTAAGGAAGGGGCGTACTGCAGAGGCTCGAATCGGCTTGAACAAATTCTATGTAGGAGTCCTATAAGGATTACTATAGGGGTAGTATGGGGGTTTAGTACACGGACCTAAATAATTACCAATACTGTTTTGGGGGCTCCTTAATATAGTTCTCGTACAATGGCCCCAAAACCCTATAATAGCAATACTATGATTCCTGTGTAGGGTTTCTACATATTTATACGTTAATCTGCACCAAGACCTTGGTCGTCAAGGTCCGTTTTGTGGGCCCCTTAGGCTTTTTCACGGCCATTGCCGGTGTTAGCAAGGCTTCAACACTCCCGTGATGTCGATTTAGGCGTTGGGGGTTTCAGGAATTAGGGGTTTAGGCTTAAGATTAAGGGTTCAGGGTTTAACCTGAGCTCGGTTCCGCGCTGGGCCGGAGGTTGCAAGATTCAGCCAAGGGCCCTTACAAGGGTTCTCCAAAATTAGGATCGGAGCCCTTGAAAGAGGCCCTAGCTTCACGGGCTCTGTATCCTTAGGTGGGCTTCAGGCGGTTTTAGGATACTGTTTTGGAAATGGGGTAAAAGCGTAGGGGGTCAGGGTATGGGTAGCATGAGCTCGGAAAAGACATATGATAGCTCCAAGCTGCGCTTTGCACCTTGTCGTGGGAAGGAGCTGAGCGATCGAATCGCTGCACAGCTGACCTCGAAGAAGTTTCGTCCTCAGAGACCAGACGGTCGCAATGCGCAGCCAAAGCCCTTGCATGCCATGACAGAAGTCGGGCAGCCTTGGTTCCGTTTTTCTGAAGGATTCTCTCCTTCAAGTTGTCCTGAACGGGCTTTATGGTTAATTAAGGCTTCCTACTTCGGGCTTAAAGCCCTACTGATCCCAATGCCCTCATGGTCCACAAAAGCTGCCCACGGGTCTCGCGCAGTTTCCAAGGCTCATCCAGGAGTCAGATCTCGAGGACTTGAAATTCCATGTGCCTCCCGGCGGCCGATTGAGAAGCAGAGGAAGGGGGCTGCTGGGGAACAGAGTCTATAGATCTGTGAATCTATGTCTAGGTCGATATCTCTATGCGCGTCTTTATCTCTATTCTCTATCTCTATCCATGTATGTTTGTATATTTATATGACGGTATTTGGAGTACAGCTGGGGATAAGAGTCTATACAATATGTGAAGAAGAACAGCGGCACGTGCCGTTACACAATGCCCTTCACGCTCCAGCATTGCCACAAATGTCGATGATTTCGACGGTTGGACGGACTACGGCAATGACGATTTTGACGGCTATGAACTCGCATCGAACCCGGGATCCGTCTTGGTCAGAAAAACAAACACATGCCCCAGGTGTCCTATTGGTTGGAAACAAGTTGTTCAAGGTCAGGTTGGGAATTCGTCCTTCGAGAAGTATGAGGTACTTTGGACAGCAGGTCTGGATCCCCCTCCCTGAACCCCAAAGCTCTACATCCCGTTTTTCCCTTACATAAATCCTTGGATACCCGAAAACCTAAATCTGAAACTCTATGCTGCCCAAAGCCCTAAATATTGCCCCAAAACTTAAGTTGCCTTAAACCCGCACATGGGATCCTGAAGCGCTTTGGGGGGACCAAGGATGTCGATTCTGCAGCCGGCTTTGAAGAAAACCAGCCGCTTGCATGCACTTTGAGGCTTTGAAGCTTTGCTGTTGGGGGGCTTTTGGAGGGTCTATGGGCTTTTCAAACGGGATGCAGGGTCTCTGGCACCTTGATCTCCTAGGCTTAGGGCTTAGGGCTTGGGGTCTCTACAAATATGCTCTGTTTTTTTGGAATCGAGGGATTGAGGCTGCGAGGCGAGAGCGCTGGCGTGTAGAGGGTGTGAAGGGTCCTTGCTGTGCACACCTCACCCCAAATTCCAATGCTTCCCTGTGTAAACTCCCAAGCCCCCAAAGACCCCAGCACCAAATTCAGATCAACTTCAGGTTACGAAGAGGTCCAACGCCTGACGGTCGAGCTTACAGAGGTGGGGACTTGAGTGGAGAGACTGGCAGAGTAGGGCTTAGGGCTCGGCAGTGCAGAAGCTTCTTCGTGTCTTCAAGAAATAGATGTTGTACGGTTATTGTGCCTCCTAACTGCATTTGGTGTGTCTGGGAGCACGTAAAACACGCAAAACATAAAAGCAGACTCCGAGGGTGGCCCGTTCTGAAATGTAGCTACCTAGCAGTTTCCGGGGTACGCGTCAAGCGCAACCTTCAATTCATGCAAGCCCCGGCTGCCTGATCTTCAGTCATCTGCAGTACTCTTACTGCAAGTCTAAGGAAACATCCCAGCCTGTGAAGTATAAACCCACACCCAGTTACGAACCACTGCTTTCTGCTTCTTAAATTGTCACTAAACCCTCATACCCTAAGCCACAGGCTCGGACTCGAACGGCGGCCGCACGCAGCGAAATCTCCCGACTTCGCTCCGAGGCGGCTTGTAGTCTTCCCTCGGGCAATGGGGGGAAACGGCTGGTTGGTCTTTTCGAACAATAAAGACTGGAGGTCGAGGATGTGGAGCCTGAGATGGCGCAGTTTTTGGCGATTTAGCTGTGTGGACTCAGGGGTTCCTGAGTTTCGTTTTTGCTGCCCTACCCACTGAACTTCGAACGATTGCAAGTTGCGGACAGCTGCCTGCAGCAGAGCCCTAAACCCTCCTGCCCGCATCTGCTGCTCAAGACTCGCCGATTCGTAGTGCCAGCTGAAAGCCAGGAGCCGAAGCGCAGAATGCGGAAGCTGCCCGTTTCTGAAATAAATCCAAGGCAACAGGCCCTTGAACTCCCGATCAAGCTTCCCATCGCAGCCGAAGCATCGAATTAGAAACAAGCCGGAAGTGTGGAGAGGCACAGCTGCTGGAGCAAAAATCGGCGGAAGCGGATGAGAAGAGCAGGTGCCCACGTTTTTCTAGTTTGGCCTTCTTTCCGGAGCGAAGGCTCAGGCGGCTCAGGGCGATTCACCAGAACTAGTCTTGCATGGAGAGGCTCGGAATGCTGAACAGTTCCCCCCGATCCTTTCGAGCTTCCCTGCATGCTACAGGCGAGCGGAAACCCGCGCCACGAAAGCAGAGAACCGACTGAAGTCTTCACTCCAGGACTGTCCAACACGAAAAAACGCCACACTGGGTTGCTGCGATAATTTCAGCATAGCGGTTGGGGCCAGGGTGATATAATTACTGACGATGGCTCTTGCTTCAGCTTTCCGATGTGCAGGTACGGGGCAAGCAGCAAGCAGCAGTTTAGGTTTTCGTGTTGTCGCTGAGGCTCACAAGAGAGGCTTGCAACAGCTGGGCTGAGGCTGATGCCAGCAGCATCGGTCGACTGTGCGTTCAAAGTGAAGGGCCTGAATCCGCGGATTTCGAACCGCTTTTTGTTGGGTGTCGAAGCCCCGAAGGCCAAGGTAATGGCCTATAGCAATCCGGCTTGTCCATTCCAGGCCTCCATTTCAGGTCTACTTGTTTCTAAACGGTAGTGACAGTAGCGCAGGAGGTTTCGAGCATGGAAGAAGCACCAACCACCAGCGTGATTGAATCAAGCTTTAACGCAGGATCCGATGACATTCAAGCTCGGATCAGAGACCGTCGAGGCCGTGGTCTTGTCTTTCTTTGAAAGAAGAGTGATCGAGGCTTCCAGCCTGGAGCGTGTCAGGCATATTGTTATAGTTCCAGCTATTGCCGAGGTCGTTCAGGACTGATGCTACCAATGGCGCAAAATCAGACATTTTATCGCTCCTCGTGCGCTGGCACTGACTGCTTGTCGGAGCTATGCAACCCAGCGAGATCCTCTTGACATCCCCAACATACGAAATAAGCCACACATGGGGAACCTTGCTGGTCTCTGGTTGCAATGGCCCTAGGCAACCCGACAAGACCCAGTCGCACCCGAAATTTGAAGAACGAGATCCCAAACCGACAAGCCAGTCGCACCCCAAAATCCGTCTCCGGAAAGGAGTATGCAAGCCCCAAAGCCCTGAGCCCCGAACCCCCCCCCCCCCCATACCGAAGCAAAGATCCGGCCCGGAAAGGTGCGGCCGACAACGGCGAAAGCCAAAGACACCGTCGGCCCGCTGCCGGACCCGAAGGGTGGGAAGTACTATAGGGGCCTAAATAATTACTAATATTATTTTGGGGGTTCCTTATTATAATTACAGTATACTGGGCCCCCAAACCCTATTCTAATGATTAATATTAGTTTGGCTCGGGTCTTTGCAAGTTGAGGGCCAAAGCAGGGATGGGGTTTAGGTTTGGGTTCGGGGTTAGTGCATGCTTCTGGCCTCTGCTGCAATTACGGACCGAATAGGCCCAGTCGTCAGGGCCGTACAACCAACCGTGATTCAGTTAAAGCAGACTAGGCACGGCAAAGCCATACTTTCCACTCACAACCATCATCACCGATGATTATCGGCAGCATCAACAAGGTGTGTTTGCCGCCTCATGCAGATTTGACTCAGCCCTTTCATGCTAATGCCTTGAAGAATCCCCAGAGACGTCCCCGAGACAACAGCCCCGAACCGTAAAAAAGCTTATTCTAACTATGAAGGCCCCTGTACTAGTGCCCGGGAAGATGCCTGAAAAGGGTTCCCAACAGTCCCTAAATGGGAGTTTCCGAAAATAGGGGACCCCAACATAGTACCCTAAATAGTAGGCTCCTTATTACAGGACACCAAAATATGAAATATGGTACTCCTATTTTTCGGAAACTCCCTAAAATGCGCAGAGGAGGGCCGCGGGAGCGTGACTGGTGGAGCTCCTGGGGCCCACTCCCCGAGGCGCTGTGACTCTGTGGTAGTTCCCTTCGTCGCTCGTTATTTCTCAGAGTCTGTAGGGTTTAGAGTCATAGAGTTATAGAGTTATAGGGTTCAGGGTGGATTGTTTCGAATCTCGGGTTTAGGGTCTTGAATGCAGGGCGGGTTACGGTTACCTTAACGAGCGCGGTCTAGTTAGGCAGCCGCCTGGCAGGCGCTCGATCACTTCGGGGCAGCTGTCGATAGGTCCGAAAGCCAAGACACCGATGGCACTTCGGGCAGTCTGAAGTCTTGCCGGAATTCAGGGTTTCAGGGCTTGGAGTACCTAGCAGGGGATGAATGTGGCGTTTCGGTACCGAGCGGGTTTTCGACAGTCCCAGTTTGAAGACTCTTCTGGACCGGGGTGATGATTTGTAAGGTCCGGGAAGAGATTTTCGAGTTCGGCTCACCGATGATGGACATTTAGTGGCGGAATGTCAGAGGGTTTTCGGTATTTATTCGTGACAAAGGCTTCAAACAGGAGGCCAAACATACTTGGGACAGGGGGCGTGCTGCTGCTGGTGGCGGTGGTGAGCGGGAAAAGGCCAGCACCTTGACCGGTATCAGGACGATCATCTTGATCTTCATGCTGCTGCTGCTGATGATGGTGATGATGAGGATAGTCATGGTGCGGCCATGGTGATGATGTGAGAGATCAATCCTTCGATCTTGACCCTCTTCCTTTTCATCATCATCAGGGCCCAGGATCATCATCTTCAACAACAACCAGCACCAGCACCAGCACATCATCACCATCATCGCCGGAAGCGACGCAGGGGCAATCATGCTGCGCTCCTTCGTCGAAGCTGTTGCACGGAATTCTCGGGCATCAAAGCAGCCGCTGACCAACCCAGGTGGAGGCGGATCGCCCGAGCCCAGCGAAGTTGGCGAGGCTGGGTCCTTCCCTTGGCGTTGGTTAGTAGGGAACGGAGGAATGGGGTATAACTATAACTATTACTACCATTCTTCCATTCCCTACTAACCAACGGTAAGTTCCGTGCATAGACAGGGTTCCCGTGGAGCTTGGCGTCCACTGCGCGTTGGGGTTCAGGATGCAGCGGTAGCAGTTGGGAGTCTTTGCGGGTGGTGACGACCCCAAGGTCGCGGGTACTGGCTTTGGGGGGGGGTAGCTTGAGCAGATGATGTCCTGGCATAGAGCTGGACTTCAGCATCGAAGGTTTTATTTTAGGGGGTCTGCTTGGGCCAGATTCTCTTTGGGCTCTCAGTTCCTGCATGCGATTCCAGGATCCGTCTGCTCTGTTGAGGCAGGAGCCTCTAGTGTGGCATCGCAACCGGAGCCCAGAAATCTGATTGAGACACGAAATCAATCATATGCCCCGCTGATGCCCTTAGGCTACAGACTTGAAGACTCATGAGCGAAAGTCCGAACTGCATCTAACCTGAAATGCGGCGGTTCAAGTTCCTCATAGGTTCACAGCTTACAAGTTACAACCGTGAGATCTGCGGCCCCTAAACCCCAAACCCTGAGGCTCAGACCCTAAGTCTACGGCTCTGGAGCCTGCAGAGCATTCACAGCATCAGAAGCTTGAAGCCCAACACATCGGCCGGCAGGACTGTCAGTGCAAGCCTCAAACTAGGAACTCTACGGTTCAGAGCCCTAAACTCCATGTTAGGGCGGCGAAGACGCCGGTCATCGTGCACAAAGGCTCCGCCCTCTGTTAAGTTCTTCAGGATTACGGTGCTCTTGACAAATTCGACACTTGTACTGAGTACTGGTAGTACAGCAAGGTTTCAGGGTCAAGAGTTTGGGCTTGGTCCATTGGCGCTCTCGCAGTTCCACGTCCCTGCTAGAGGCTGAGGAGCCGTGAGGAATTGAAGATTTGCGGGAGCAGTAGTTGAATTTAAGCCCTGCGGCCAAAATTGAATTCCAAGTGCCAATGCTCTGGGAGCTTCGAACCTCCAACCATGTGCTTTGTCTCTTAAAATGGTTGCAAACTGATTTCTGGCAACTAGAAAACTGCAGACATCCTCTTTCATAACATGATCCTGTTGTCGTGTAGAAATCTGTGTATATAGATATATAAATAGACATATGTATGCATACACATGTGTATACATATATCACATATATGTATGTACGTACATACAAAGCACATCACAAGCTATGTGTCGGTATTGAATGCAGAAAGAAGCAGCACTGCACACTATATGTCCTGCGCTTCCGTGTACAGAAAATCTCGGGACCCTGCTCCAAGCACCCTGGAGCCCATGCGATTCTTAGTCAGACCCGAAGCCCCGCAGCCGACTGTAACGACAGCAGCCGCAACCCGAAGCTCAAGAGCCTGAAGTTGAAGGCCAACGTTTGAAGCGCCTCCTCATCTTGTGCGCATCCAGAGTTCTTCCTTCTCCTTGTAGCATTGGTGTTCAAAACCTGATCTCCAATCTCCAAAGCTTAATAATGATCAGGCAAAGGCTGTACCCGTACGTTCCCAAAGATCTCAAAATGTGAGCGAAAGAGGCTCTTGGAGAAGCAGCGGAAGAAAGAGGAGGCCGACGCGGCACGACGAGCTGCGGAGGAGAGGATGAAGGCCAGGCCCGAAAACTCTCAAGTGCTGATTTGAGATTCAACTTTTGGGCGCTAGAATCTGGGAGCCGGAGAAACAGACATTACCAGCTGCTTCAAGCAAAGGCGCGCTTTGCCAAGTTGTGTGTTTCACGGACGCCATTGGAGTCTCCATATGCAACATGCCACCTCTGCTGCCCTTCCTAAAGACCTTCCCTGGTCACGAAGCATCCATCTATCCATCTATCACATGACCGAATTAATTGCCATCTTTGCTTGTCCAGTGCGGTATGTCTGCCCGGGATGTACAGTTTTGTCTCCACGATCGTTCGGGCAAGTTCTTCGTAACACCTCACAACCATGTTGCATCTCACCGTATTTAGGCATGTTAAGTGTGCTGGGTTACATTACACAGACGAAGCTCGAGGAAGGGAAAGGTCCTGCTTCCTACCATGGTACAGGCCATGAGGGGGTTCTGAGTTTGCATTTTGGTTTGCAATCCAGTGCTGAATGCGTTGGGTGTTGGGCTGCTTCCTATCGCCAGGATCAGAAGAAGAAGAAGCAGGAGGAAAAGGGCAACAAGGAGCCACCGGGTCGAACCTCCAACTCTTGCTGTTACAGCATTTCTGAAAAGCACCTCAGCCGGGCTCAGCAAGGTCCAAGATTCAAGATCGAAATCGAACGTGAGGTTAGCACGAGCCCCTAGCAGAATTCACAGAAGCTGCATTCAGGGCTGTAATGAGAAGACGCCACTGAATGTTTGTATTCACCTCCGAAGCCCAATTCTGCAAGCCTGAACCCCTGTGAAAACAGATGTTCTCGTCACGAAGCCAGTATGCACAACTGAAGCCATGGGTGAGAGTTGGGTTTTTACTTGCGCCGTTTTAACTGAGATTTGTCCATGCCCTGGACTTTTGATTCACTTTCTGGGACGTTTTTTTCCGCGCATGCCGGAGATGCCAAGCGTATAGCTTGCATGCTACACGTAAGACTCAGTTCCTTAGAGACCCACTCCGCGCCGAGTGCTCGGGAGAGGAGCATCTTCAGGCGATGAAGGAGATGGGAGAGGCCCCCGCGGATGTCTTTTCCCAATCGGGGCTTTGGCATCGCGCGAGCGCAGGCATCAGGATAGCTTCGCCAAGAATGTGAACCCCTTTGGACAGCCCAACAGATTGCTGTGCTTCTTCGAAGCCTTCGTTCACGGAAATTACGAACTTCTCAATCGGCCTCTGGCATAAAGCTTAGAGACACTTAGCCAGGCCTTGACAGAAGCTTGATAGCATTGAGGGTGGCATGATTTGGTGTTGACAGGGTCTTGTGGTTCGCATACAGCGGTTCTCCGCAACTGCACGTCCTAGCCAAGAGGCCCTAGTGTCTACCCAGAGGCCCCATAGTAGTTCCTTTTTGGGATTACCTCATAAGATTCCAAATATGAGCCCCAAAACGGAGCTACTTTGGGGCCTTAGGGTAGAGCCATAATTCATCCGATCCCCGGGCGCCGGCCACAGGAACTGAAAAAGGCCAAAGCTGCTCCTTGGGTCGCACTATGACTGGTAGTAATAGTAGTTATAATTGTACCCCATTCCTCCATTCCCTACTAACCAAAGATAAGATAAGACTATAGTAGGCAGGAGTTGAGTTAGCACAGAGATGATGGTGGGTTCTTGATGTGTGTTGGTCCTTTCGGAAGGGCTATGGACCAAAGCCCAATCTACCCGAAGTTCAACGACATGCAAGGCTGTAACAGTCCATCTGTTCACGAATCCGACACAATCATTCAGACTCTCTTCGATTAAAAGCATCAGTGATCTCGTTTGGGATGTGGGATGTTGGATGACACTCGTGCGCGCTTGCCCTTTGAGGGTTTGGTTTTGGGAGGGTCAGGCTTGAGGCTTTTCTGTGGAGTGGGAGCGTGGAGTTGAGGGCTCTGGCTTTCGGGCTCTGAGGGTTGCCGTTCAGGCAGGGCATGCTTAGCATCTCTGGGTCATGGGGATACTGCCCCGGAGCCTGCCTCGCGATCTCCGTCGTCGTGTGATGTACGGAGTAGTGATCGAGTACACGTATACAAGATGAACCCTCAAGTCATCAGCTCTTTGAGGGAAGCGGTGCGCTTTGCCAAGGCCGCAAAGGATGCCGAAACGCAAGCATCGCAGATGAGGACACGTGGGCGAGTCGAGCTTTTCGGAATTTGGGGTCAGAAGCTTGAGGGCCGGGTTTAGGGAAATTACCAGTAGCTGCTTTGAAGATGAGAGCACTTTGTTTATTGAGGCTCGCCAGCCTCCCCAGAAGTTGCATCCAGAACTCGAGGCTAGAGTCACTACACAGGAGACAGAATCACTTTGGACAGAAGATGACGCGACTCACGACCCAGCATCTTTATTATGTGCGTGCATGAGTATATGATAAATATGTCTGTATATTATGTGTATATATATAGACATATAGATATAGATGTGCATCTGCATAAATGCATACACATGCACAGACACACACACACACAAGCTCATTCAGTACTCGCGAGAAACTTGCGACAACTGGAAGCGGATATTCATACACACAGACACACAATAGATGAGCCACGAACAAGAGAAGTTTGCGGAGCCGTGGCCTTACCGTTGGTTAGTAGTAGGGAATTCCCTACTAACCAAAGGTAAGTTGCAGGATCAAGCTCGAGCAGGCCGAAGCAGGGGCCAAGTCGGCCGAGAAGGCGCGGGCGCCGAGCCTTCCGAGGGCTCTTTCTGAGGGGAGAGGAAGAGGTGTCGGGATTCTGGTACCCCGAAAAATTGGCCCCTAAATCCTACGCCTACATATACCTGAAGCTAGTGAGTGTATACTTGAGGAGAGAAAGGGGAAGAGATATTCCTGAGCTTTTTGGGTGCTGGATTCGTGGGCTTTCAGTTGCATCTGGAGGCGGAGTGGACGAACTGTTCGGAGAGCTCTGAAGGGGCATTGACTTGCACCTAATGGAGATAGGTAGTGGAGCGCCAGCGATGCTTTTAGCTTTTAGAAGCCCCGTTTCCTTCCGCGAGGCACCGTCCACGGAGCTAACCAAGTAAAACCTTGCAAAAACGCCTCAAAGCCGACACCCTTCTCGACCTCCAAGGCTATACATGTGCATGACTTTGTGCCGGCCTTTGGTTTGGCTCAGCCTCTGTGAAGGGGTTTCGCTACACTCATGAACCAGCAAGTTGCGATTGCGAGATTCTGGCAGCTGAAGTGATCGTTTTGGGGAGCACACCTTCTAGGTCTTAAGCGGCAGCTTGCCTTCCGGTGGGATCCATGGGTGCAAGGTGCCGAAGGCTGAAGCACTAAACCAACACCTAAACCACCCTACTAGCTGCTCTAGCGGCGCAAAACTTCCTAAGCATTTGTGGCTCCAGCCGCTGGTCCAAAATCTAGGGCCAATTGGGTGAAACAGCCGTGAGGTTTCCGGAGTTTCGCGGCATCATGTATTTCTACGTCTGCATGGCGGATGACTGCTTAGCTCGCTTTTCGAAGTGGACTGTTGCACTTGATCACATGCGCGCCTGTGACTCCTACCAAAGGCCTGGCGACCTCCTGGGTTTGGGTGCCTCGGGGTTGAGGGTCGCTAGGACCTAGGAACCCGGTAGTCTACCGGAACTGTGAAACCTGATTCAAACGGGCCAGAACCCAGCTATGAACGGTGGAGCTTGAACGTCAGAGGCTGGCTGGGATTTATGCCAGAACTGAAAAACAGTTGCTGAACATGAGACTGGAGCTTTGAGAAAGTTTCCACCGTCTTCGCCTGAACTCAATGAATATGAGGCCTGGTGGGAACCGAATTGTAAGCCCTACGCTTAACAAAGGGCAACTAAGAGACTAAAGAAGCAACAGAAACCCCCATATAAGGCACAACCCCCATATAAGCCACGACTTCCACGTCCCTTGTTCCAAAGCCTTAGGAAAATTCTCATTATTGAAGTATTGAAAGAATAGGACCCTAGACATTCCAAAATCCCTCGATCCTACCTTAAAGTCATATTGGGGGTCCTATCATAACTTAAAGGTACATTCCTTAAATCTTAGCAGGACTCTTATTATGTGGTTTAAGGTGTATATAAATATAATTATTGCTCAATCAAGGAACCCTAAACCCAAGGTGCGTTACACTTTAGAACAACCCTAGACCCTAAACCGTTGGAACCTCTCCGGAACTGTCCGTCCCTTCAGGTTGGTACGAGACTGTGGCGCCCCGAAGAAGCCCAAAGTCGCAGCCTCGCGAGAGAAGCTTGGCAAATGCCAAGGAACCGAAAGAGACTTCATACTCTTTACAAGGTTGGGACATGTTTAAAGAGGATATGTATATATGTAATCTATATATATATATATATATATATATATACATATTAAGCCAATTGTGAGGAGAGTAAGTTAGGGAACTGACAAGTTTTAAGTTCCCTTATTATCCTTGTTGATGGTTTGACGTGGAACCCCACCTCTTTCGCTTTGAATTTGAAGGTTTGTGGTAACCGGCTCTTCTTAGTTTTGGAAGTTTAGCTGAAGTTACCCATTGTAACATGGCCTTGCTCGGTGTGCCGTAGAGGGTTAATAGAGGCCATGCGTCGATTTTGGGTTAAGCCAACAGGACCTATGATGCTCAGCGGGTTCTTGCTAAGGAACCTCAATTTAAGTTGCCATATGGATGAAGGCAACAAGCAAATTCATGATTCGGGTAGTGGTATCCCTAAGCTACACAAGAGCTACACTGTCCTGGTTCTTGCTCTGCAACTTCGTGTTGGTGCTAGTGTTTCACGAGGTTGGCTTGATGGGGGCGTTACGGAGTTCCTACGTTACCTTACTCTGGAAAACACGTACGCATGTCCCTATCAGCCCTATCATGGTAACTTGAGCTTAAGCTCTCTGAACCCTGACAAGAGCCCAAATCCACACATCCAAATCCTATCCTAGCCTAAGACCGGTCTCAAGACACCTACCCTAGAAACTTTGAAAAGAAGAGCCCAGGAAGGCTCAACGAGTTGAGCCGAAGCCGGAACTGGACTTTACGCAAGATCCGTTCCACGGTGTCCTGAAGGTCAAGGCGGCATACACAGGGCGCGTTAAGGGCTTCAGAGGGCTTTGGCTTCGAGGGTTTAGCAGTTCAGGGGTTCGGGTTTAGAGTTCAGGAGCTTTCTTGTGTAGGGCTTAGTGGTTGTAAGGTCGGTCGTCTTTGGGCTTAGGCGGTTGAGGTCTTTTTTCGGTTGGAACTTGTGATTTCATGTTTATGGTGGATTACGCTCAGATGAAGACAGACTGAGCAAGGTGCCTGGGTTTCTGGGTTTCTGAGAACGTGGGTTGAGGTTTAGAGATCTAGGTCTTTGGTATGTGTTTGATATGGTCCGTGGTTCAGGGCTGATCATGCCTAGGGCGCAGAGTAGCACTTTCACAAGGTTTCTAGGCCTTGGCAGGGCCTTCTTGGGGTTTCACGCCTGCAAAATCTTGGGTCGAGGTGCCCCCGGATGAGTCGGAGATTGCGGCCGTTTTCAGACAGTGCTGGGAGGACTTTCCTGACAAGATGCTGGGCACCAGAAGCAAAACGGGGTTCGGGGTCCGGATAGTAATTAACACAGTTTTTCCGCAGGAATCCCCGTACATATAGCCATGCTATGGCTTTTCCCCAAAGCCCTAGTGAAATTCTTAGGCCCCTACACCATGTAGGGTATGTTTGGGTCTGTCCTGTTCAGAGAGGGGTAAATTAGCACCCTCAAAACACCCTTTTCAAGTTCGAGTGGGTAAGGCTCCTATATATTGGTCTACTTTCGGTCTCAGGAGCGACTATCGCGGCTTTTGGAAGCATGCGCTGGAGCATGTCAAGGAGCTGTATGGCGTCTCCTTCCAGTCCTTCGGCCACGGCAAGCTGCCGCGCTTCCTGAAGAAGCACAAAATCGCCCAGGAGGTCTTCCGAAACCGGGAAAAGTCGAAGACAGCAGCTCAGGAGTCGATGGTTAATGACACGGAGACCAAAAGAACCCTGAAGCCCCTTGAACTGAGCCCTAAACCCGGTAAAACGAAGTCCTAGTACCGCCTTGCACTATACAAACCTCAACCGCGCATCTTCTACCAGGCTCTATAATCCCACCCCTGTCGACCCTAGGCCCCAAGAAATCCCAAGCCTCAACCCAACCCCAAGCATTACGCTTTAAAGCTCGGCGCCCCAAGAAATGACCCGAAGCAACCCTGAGCTTTATAAGCCTAAAGAACCCTAAACCCTAAATGCGAACCCTTAAGCCCTTAAGAACCCTATACCCTAAACGCGAACCCTTAAGCCCTTAAGAACCCTAAAGCATAAAGCCTGAAGCACCAAAGCATGAGAAGGACTATTTTCCGGAGTCAGAGGAGGAAGAACTCCGGCCAGAAGCTTCGACAGAGGACGGCCCGAAGTCCTCTCCGCCAGGTCCTCCAAGGACCAGCTGCAAAGTGCTCCGTGTATAGGGCCGAAGGGTGTAGTGGCTTCAACATAAAGGCTGTAGGGGCCCGGGAGGAAGCTGAAGCGGTGAACCCGGAAATTCTGTCCAAACGCTTCCATGGGCACCCGTGGACCCGTTTCAGTCGCTTTGAAAGCCCTAAGCCCAAGCACCAGGAAAGCCGGGGTCAGCCATTAGACCTTGATATTTCAAAGGTACCTAGTTCAATGACCTACAAACCCCCACCCCTCGAACCCTAAATCCCCGAACTTAAAAATCCTAAAGCCCTACAGTAAGCCTTCAAGACCCCCCCAAAAATAAACCCTGTAAAACCCCCTTGCCCTTGCGCCAAGAACTCCCCACAGGAGCTCCTCGGCTCCCCCGAACCCGGCGGAGCAGTCGGATGCAGCCGGGGCTCCGGGGCCCGTGCTTCCAAGCAAAGCTCCCGGGCACGGCGCCTCGGAGTTACAGGGGTTCTGTATCCTATACAGTAGGTGCCTATGATTAAAGGCGCCTCGGGGTCAAGGGAACGTGGCTTTCTGGCGTTTTTTCTTTTTGCTTGAGGCGATGTTAGTTTCGGTGAGGAATGTGGGTTTGTAGTGTTCCGGAACTAGGATAAGGGTTCAGGTCTGGGACAAGAGAGAGCCTGGTCGAGGACTTCTGGTGCAGCTTCGAAGGCTAGGAGGGCTTTAGGGGTTGTGGGTTGGGCGGTTTGGCACTCTCACAACCTGTGCCCGAAAACGACAAGACTGCGGGGGGCTGCAGGCCAAAGGCTACTCGGCTACTTTCCGCAATGCTTGAGGCCCCGTTGAAACGGAAGGTGCGGTGCTTTGCGAGAATTTCGCCATGTTCCTTGAGGCTGGCATTCGCATGCTCTCACCAAGATGTGGAACAAGGTCGTTCACTCTGACATGCAGACTGCAGCTAGTAATCACTAACGATGCAACCGAAAGTGAAAGGTTGAAGACCTGTCCGGGATTAGCCAAGGGAGTATTCCTTCTGCCAAACCTTGTAAACTGCCTGAATCCCAGGTTCTCATCCCTACGCCAGACCGAAGCCTTCCGTGGCTCCGCCTGAGCACTTTCCTCCACTGAGCCAGAACTGCCGTGGAGCGCCGGGTTCAGACTGAAGCAGAAGCACGCCTTCAGGGGCCCTTATTAGGGCTTGGGGCTACCTAAACCCCCAAAGTAGGTAAGATAATGGCCCAATACCCATAAAAGGCTATTATTCTACATACTTTGGGGGCCCAGCTAGTTGGGGGTAGGCTTCGGTCTCACATGCAGGGGCCCTTATTAGGGCTTTGGGGCTAGTTTGGGGTAGGCTTTCTGTTGAAGGGGCGCATCTTCAACCGAACGAAAGCCCGCTGCGAAGAAAAGTCGCTGTGCTGCTCCACACTGCACGGACAGCTTCCGAATCCCTTCCTAAGCCCTGACCCCTAGACCCTAAACCCTAAACCCTAAACCCTAAACCCGAACCTCTAAACCCTAAACCCTAGACCCTCTTCCTTGTTCCCTGCTTGTCTTGAGGCTCCGAGGCTCTTGCAGTTATGTCCACCAGGGGCTTAAGCGGCCTGATCCGATATCATCTGCAATCATCCCAAGCTAATTCCTTGCGGAACCTTGACGTGCGTGAACCGCGAACCTCGAAACATGAGGGTTTTTCTCCAGTTCGGAATCCCAAAATGTCACAGAATCCCAACTCTTCGACGCGTCCTGTCTTCGAGGCTCGCTCGAACGCCGAGAAGAAGCTTTCCAGTGCCGAGCAGGCGAGGCCTGCTGACTTAAGACGCTGTGTGCCAAAGGTGGCTGCCTGAAATCGGTGGGCTCTGATGAACCCTAAACTAACCCTCTTTGCATTGAGGGTCTTTTGTGGCTTGGGGTTTCAGATCATAATTTGTCTTTAGTCATTCCCTGTTCCGGAAGACCTTAGGACCTTTGGGGGTTCAGGGATTTTCGGTTTTGGGTTCAGCGCTTTGAAGCTTTGGGGTTCGGGAGTCTTCGGCCTTTTAGAGGTTGAGGCTTTGGGTTTGAGGGGTCGCAATTTGGGCGCCAGAGTTTCGTGTTTCCGGGATTGTAGCGATGAAGCCATATTACCAGTCCCGAAATACACTGAAGGCAGGTGTCGAGTTGGTTAGGACGTCTATATGTTGCAGTGCACTCCCTCCTTGACGAAACCTTGTAGAACAACCCCTCATGTCCATGTTCTTTGGTGCCGGGCTCGATAGACACGGCCTTTACTTCAGTGCTACGCTATGAGGAGTACTATAACAGCCGGAACACATGGCAGCTTTAGTCTTTGTCCCCTAGTCGAATCAGTTTCCAACCCTTGCCATTAAGCCTGAATCCTGAACCTAGCCAAATCTACTGATTTTCGACAATTCTCCACGGAGGAGCTTCGATCTCTGCGTAACGACCCGGTCTTTGACCAGGTGAACATGCTTCGGGACGACGCCCGGCGAATTTACGGAAGATCTCCGTCATTTACAGACCTTGCTGAGGGCATTGGCTCATATTATGTTTGTTATACTGTATTATACATGCACACGAACTTCAGGGAGACTGCTCCATACTATTCGTTCAGACCTTCGTATCACCCAGCGCTCTTCACAGCACGCTTTCGGTACTTCGGCCTCGGTGGAGGTTCGCCATGCGTGCGCAAGTAGCACATGCCGCCACTCGAAACAACATGCGGCTGCGGTTCTCACGTTTGGAGCACCCACGAAGTGAACTCTACTGCCACTGCGGTCAAAGTGTTATTCGGATTATCCGGCCTGAGTTGATTCAGCACGTGGATCCTGAAAGCTTGTTTGAATCGGCCTTGAATGGAACTGAGCCGGAACACCCCGCCTTCCTGAAGGTTTGTATGACGGCCTAACAGATTTATTTCCGAGTGGAGTTGTGTTAGTTAGTACTGAGTACACTGGTTGTGAAAACGGTACGTTTCATCCAGATCAGAGCCATTAAGCTTCCACCTTTTGAGTAACAAGACTCCCCTCTCTCGCTTTCTAAGGGCTCGGTTCAGATTCTCTAGATGTGCTGAAGTATAGCCGCAACGGACGGCTTTGGGTAGAGGGCTCAGGGCAGACCGCCTCTCCCAACCGAGGGCTACCTCTTTGCATGGCTGTGTATTGATGATGTGCTTGCGTCACAGCGTAGCGGGCCTCGTCTGAAGCAGGACCGAAGCCTGAATTCTAGAATATCCTCATATGCCTATGATTTCAAGTATTGTTGCCCTGAACATCATGATGGAGATTGTGACTTTCCATAGAGCACCACTCTCATGAGAATCACCTGCTTGCTTAGGGTAGCAGGGAAGCATTCTCCTTGGATCTGAGGGCGTGCGGAACTTGGAGAAGGAGGTCGACGAACTTCAGCCGACGCCTCGGTAGAAGCCCTCCTGCGAGCCGTGATGCAGACCAGGATGTCCTAAAAACGAATCGGTTTCTGGTGTTATAGCTTAACTCGATGACTATTTCCAAAGGCAGGCTTCTGGGAGTCAAGATCGTTCTATCGTAGAAGGTTTCTCCGAGTTTTGTTGACAGAGCGGTCGCTCGGCAAGGCAGCAATCAACTCAACTCCAGAAGACAGCCTTGCCGCAATCACATTTTGGACGAAGGGATTAGAGCAACTTCCGAGGCCTCTGCAACTCGAACGGGCAGCATTGCAGGAAGGCTTCATGGTTCTCTCCGCAGCAATCGCTGGTTTGACTCGCCCATAGCAAGCAGTGCCAACATGCATGAGCGGGAACATTTGTGTTCTCAGAGCTGAAGGGCAGCGCGCAATGGTGATCGGACATGCCATACGTTGCATGATCCCATGCTTGACGGTGTCGGGGGCTGTGCGTCTGCCGTCGGGCCAACAGCGTGCAATCCAGCTGACGTTTGGTCGGTAGTGGGGCTTTGCCTGCCTGTGGCTCCTGGCCGTTCGCAAAAGAGGTGGCTGCCTTGCGACTCACCGTTGGTCGTTCAGTTGGTCAGGTGTGTGTCTGTGCACGACCTTCCAGCCAACCAGCCCAGCTGCATTTGCTTCGCAATAACACCGAAGCATGGTGGAGAGCAGACGGTCGCACCGGGACATGGGGCGGCTGTTCTTGCGATGCCTGAACGTTTGCTAACAGATGGCGCTGGGTCTCACCGTTGGTCGGGTGTGGGACTGTGCACAGCCTTCCGGCCAACAGCATGCACACCAACTAGAACGGAATGCCTTTGGTTTGCAGTGAAACCAGAGCACAGCCGTGAGTTGGTGCCACTGGGTCACACCGTTGGTCGGGAGTGGGGCTGCGTGAAACCGAAGAGCTGGTGGAGAGCAGATGGCCGCTTTGAGCCGCACGGTTGGTCAGAAATGGGGCCTTACCGTTGGTCGGGTGTGGGACTGCGCACGGCTTTCCGGCCAACAGCATGCAAGCCAACTGGAGTGGAAAGCAGTTGGCCGCTCCGGTCGCACCGTTGGTCGGGAGTGGGGCTGTGCACGACCTTCCGGCCACCAGCATGCCAGTCGACTGCGTTCGGTTTATCGTCAATAAACCCGGGGGCAGATGGCCGAATTCGGTCCCACCTCGTTGGTCAGAAGTGGGGCTGCTCCTACAGCTTTTGCGCCGAGGAAGCCCCGCCGGAATTTTTGATCCCCACCGACTGACACAGCATATGCGGACACTTCTCTTCGACCGTGTGGAGCTGAGAGCAGGAGAGGCAAAGTGGCTCCTCGACCGCAAAATTAGGATGTCCCATTCGCCTCTGGTCGAATGCGCGTCTGGAAGATTTTCTAGACGCCGATCTTGGCCGCATTGGGTCTCACCGTTGGTCGGGTGTGGGACTGTGCACGGCCTTCCGGTCAACAACATGCAGGCGGACTGGTGAACTGGCCGCTTTGGGTCGCACCGTTGGTCGGAAGCGGGCTGTGACCGTGAGCCGCTGAGTGAACCCTGGCAAACAACATAGTTGGGCAAGCTTGGATTCTGCACAAGAGCGCAAACTTCGCTCACACCGTTGGTCTGGCTTGGACTGCGTGCGGCCGTCAGGCAGCGGCACGTTGCCAACTCAAGTTGTGGTTTGGGCTACATGGAGCTCGACCGAGAATGGGGGCCACCTGTTGCTTAAGTTCGAGGACTGACACCTTTTGAGAACGACAAAAGTGCTGCCACAGCGAGGGCAGCGTGGCAAATGGCAGCGGACAACACAAACACCATGAAACGTATTGACCTGATGAACTTGGCATCGGCTAGGCGCACATTCAACCCAAATTGGGCAAGCATGCATTTGAGAATCCAATGTCCAGAGCCAGCACACACGTGTTTGCAAATGCTTCTCATGTCACCAATCCAAGCTATTGATTATCCCGTATTCCGACATTTAGTGTCCAGTGCTCCACACTATGCCTCCAAGCCTGAACCACCCAAGCGACATACAATCTTGTTGTTGTACATTAAACCAAAAGCCTTGAATCCGTTCATGCCCACATCTGCAGCCCCGACGCCCTGGAAGCACAGGCAACAGGTTGCAGAAAAAGAAGAGCTGTTGTCGGCAGCTTATGAAGCGAAGGCAGCATAACAGCATCGGGTCTGTGCGTGGTTTTGTGGTTGAGGTTGGATTTGTTTTTCTGTGTGGCGTTGCTCCGGGCTTTGTGGAATCTCGTGGTTGTTAGGTTTCGTTGTTTTCGAGGTATTGTTGTTGTTTGGCTGTGATGTTCCGGGCATGATTACAGGCTTAAGGGCTTTCGCTTGCTTGAATTTCAATGCCCGCGCGGGAACAGGTGATTAGTTTATGAACCGAAGTGTTTGCAGTGTTTGTGCGTCACACTGCGCAAGACTTACCTCCAGCATCCCTTGTACCATCAGTGAATTACATAGCCTGCACCGCCAAACCTTGAACCAACCTCTACCTAGAAACCTTCATTCGCAATGTCACTCTTCCCGGCCAAAACCCGACTTCCTTCTGCAAAAGCCACCTGCCTGGAGCAGCGTCTACCGAACCAAACCTGGGAAGTGCATGATGGTTTTGGCCTTCACGCCGCGAGCAAATGAGAGGCTCTGACCGAAAAGGAGCGTGGCGAGGAGATCTCAGCCTTGAAAGAGGCTCGAGCTCGGCAAGAGTATATTGCACATTGGTCTTCAAACTAAAGGGTTTTAGAGAGTGAAGAACTTGACGACTATTCTTCTTATCGTCCCCACATATACGATACTTCGATCACTTACGCACAGCCTTGTTTTAAGCACTAAGGCCATTGTAGGATACTTGCTGGGTGGCTTTTTCATTGCCGACTCAGCGGTTCAGAGCTACCGGTTCCAGGCTAGATGAACATGGGCTCAGGTCTTGTCCTTAATAAAAAGGCCATGATTCCGAACCTTTAAGCTCCTCAACCACAAACCCGAAGCCCCAAGGAGCGTTCTTCCCCTCTGTCTTTTGACCCCCTTGGAGGACATCTCGCGGTTGCAAAGCGGCTCCGACCGGGGGCAGGTCTGGCGGTGCAGCGTCATGCCAAAACCATGAAACCATCAGTATTCTACGGACTCTACGTCCCAAATCTCAAAGCACCCTGAAACCCTCAAGCACTCAGCTCTCAGTCTCAGCTCACATACTTCAAGGTGTATAGCCAGGGAGGCATTCAAAAAAAGACTGCAATCTGCAGGAGCTGAAGCGCCTCCAGCAGGAGCGCCCGTGTTTGGGGTTGGCGCTTGAGGTTGAAAGGTTTAGACGGGCTGCCGGGTTGAGAGCCTCGAGGATTTAGAGCTTTGGGAGTTGCGTTGCTTCGTTGTGTTATTTGAGAGCAGGAGTGGCTGTTTGATGAGATGAACATTCCCATGATCTGCTCACGGCACTGGCTTTGATCCTTGTGCTCTGTTCTCTGGAGCTTCAAGTTTGCTAATTTGCGTAAATTGTCAATCCTGAGTACTACTATGGGTTTTTTCTCCTGATTGCCTTATTCTGTTATTGAAGCCCCCTGATTAACCACTACGTTTTGGGCGCAGGTTGACTGCATTTTGCATAACTTTGCTCGGAACACCGCTCCTTTGCAAAGGAACTCGATGCTGCCAGGGCAGAGACGGTCCGACTGCAGGCGGGATTTTTCTGTGGATCAGCGTTTCCACGGGATTGTAAAAGCAGGAATCCTAAAACTCGAGAATGAAATACGACATGCGGCGAAATCTGCATTTCCTGGGTGCACGTGTCGGAGACTAAGAACGCCCATGCCCAGTCGGGCTCGAAGCTGCCAGCCGGAAGCACATAAACCCCTTAGGGTTATAAATGGGGTAACTATATGTTCTTGTAACTGCATGTCGCCCCAATTAGGGTACTTATAACCTTACATAGTATATAAGTCCCCTGATCCTCCAAGTGTCCACCTGCAACTGGAGCCCAGCAGGCCACCGCGGAGCCTTCCAAAGCCGTCGAAGGCGGCAGCGGAAGCGGCGATGCGGAGGACTTTAAGGGTTTGCTGGGTTTGGGTATGTAGGCTACCCAGAGGCCCCATAGTAGTTCCTTGTTGGGTTCTAAATATGAGCCCCAAAAAGGAACTACTTTGGGGCCGTAGGCCAGGGCTTATAAGTTTGTTAGTTTCGGCCTATTGCTGGCGATTTTGCTTCTGGAAGCTGGTGTCGATCTGAAGGAAGGGACTTTTAATCACACCTTACTGGATTCCAACAGCCATGCTAGGGTGCAATCAGGAGTTTTGCGCAAATCCTTTCCAGCCTCTAACTCCTAGTTCTTTAGGCCCACAGGGCTCGCGTTTGCAGCGCCAGTGGTGAAAAGCCGGAAGCCGATTCTTTGCAGCCAGACATCTGTAAATCTTGGATTCCTGGATAGTATCATGCTGTGGGCTTTCCAGCAAGCATGTTTTCTAGGCGGCACTTTGGGAATCTTTGAATTTTCCTTACAGTTGCTGTAGAGGTACCTATTCCTACAAGTCTACGTTTTCTGGGCCCCAACACTTCGATCCAGTGTTGCTTGCAGAGGAGCTTCGCAAGCTTCGCGAGGAGTGTCAAACTGCGGTCGTCAGGTCGTTTCGGGTTTCGGATCTTTGGCATTTTTGTGTTGCGGCCTTAACAACTTTCTGCATGTGCTGAGATTGTTTGAGCATCCGGCGTCTCATGTCTACTGGGCTTCGGTGCTCACTGAGGCTTCTTTCAGACTTCAGATCTCTGTTTCCTTTTTGGTACCGGAGGTGGAAAGTTGCAGGGATATCCATGTCCCGTGGAAGGAGCTGGCGTCCACCCGCGCGGAGCTTGCAAGCCTCAAGGCGCCCGGCTTTGCGGCCACTGGGGGCTTTAGGGCGGGGGCTGTGTTTGGGCTTAATTGCGGCCTTGGATGCAGTGTCGATTTGTGTTTTCGGAGTTTGGGGCTGGGTTTGGATTTAAGGATCCGGTTCGTCGCCAGTTGCCTTTTAAATCCCTAAAACCCGAGCCGATGTCAAGAGAGGTAGATCGAGCCCAGATCTGCCAAGACAAAGTGCTAAACCCTGCCCTGAGTAGTCAGAAGAAGCCATCAGCCTTGAAATGAGACTCCTAGCGTCTTGTGCGGGGTTGTGTAGACGCCGTCCTGTTCATTTGTCACTTCGGAGTTGGATTCAGGGCGAGGGTTTTATTGACCCCCCAACCAAAGCGAAAGCCCACGGAACCAAAAGCCGTGCGCAATTCTGCTTCTCATCTGGAAGGCTTCGCCAACACAAGCACCTGGAGCCGAGAAAGCAACACCGGAGGCGGAACTTCAGGGTTCAGACTTTAGGGTTTAGGGTTCAGAGTTTAGGGTTTAGGGTTCAGAATCTAGGGTTCAGGGTTTATATGGTTTAGGATTTCGGGCGTCAGAGTCAGACATAGGGATTGGTGGGGTCCTCGGAGTAACTGGTATCTTGCCGGAGCCTCAAAGCCTACGCCCCAAAGCCAACAGCACCAAACCATACAGGCTTCCCCCCTTTCTACAGCTTGGACCCATGGCTGTTCAGTCTAGAAGCTGGTTGTTACGATGCAGACATGTATCTGTTCGAATCCAACTCTTACGAAGTGTCTTCGGTTTTCCGGTCCCGGATTGCCCAGAAACTGGGCTCGTCGCGGGAATCCCTTGCCACTCGTGCACCTGAGCAATCAAACCCAGCCATGAATTGAGACTCTCTGTGCAAGGAGTTCAAGATATGATCAGCCCCAAGAGACTGCAGCACCCCTTTTGCTCGTACCGTAGCCCCTTTCAAGATCTCCGAAGTCCAAGCCTGCTTCCTGGAGGCCGCTCCATCTCCAGAAGCAGAGAAAGTGCAAGAGGACGCAAATCCTTGCCTTTTGGGGGTTCTACCTGCGCCGAGCTGAGCGCCTTTGTGTTTTAACAAAATTCTGAGGCACTGGCCAGATCTTAGCTGTGCTGCTTCTGGTCGTGCCAGGAGCTGCGCAAGCTTCGGGAGGACTCCTGCCTTCTCGCGCTGACTGTGCAAGCGCAGGGTCTTCAAGCAGGATCAGAAGCATGTAGTCGTAGTCAAGGCCTCATGTACTGGGGTTCCCCGAAGTTCGACCTTACTGGAAAGCTCTCAGCTCAACCCCAAGGGTTGATGCAGCACCTCCTCAAACGTTGCAACCCCACAAGTAGTCGAACACATCCTTGCCCACGCAGTCCGAGAGATGAGACCGAAAGTCTGGCCTGGAATGCTTTCAATTGCGTGCCCAAGCTTGGCAGCATCAGCAGACTGTATTAGCACGGCAAGCGCGCAATTCGGCAGTGCGCAAACGGTGAACTCTAACTCAATCCTGCAGCCCTGCACCCTCGGATCAAGCAACTCCGACTCCGGGTAGGCTCCTCTGCAAAAACCTCCGACACTCGTTCCTTCTTGTCAACAGAAGTTGCGACTCTGCAAGGAGCTGGCTGCCTCGCAGGCGGAGGTGTCGCGGCTGCGATCTCTGCCGCCAGAAGGCGGCGACAAAGCGCAGGAGACCCGAGGGCTGCTACGGTTTACGGATCAAGCCTAATATGTGCTACAGAATACTACGAATTACCATAATATGCAGCCACATGTTTCAACAAAGTAGAATTTACTGTCATGAGGCTGCGCTTGAAGGCTTGAGGATGTGGGGTGTGACGACGAGGGGTTCGGGGTTGGTATGCATTCGGGCATGCCAAATTGAACGAAGCGCTGTGCTTGGGCCTTCGTGACATTTCGGAAGTTGGAGCTGCATGAAGTCCACGCTGGGCGTGGTGGGAGAGCGCATCTCCGATCATCTCCTCGGATTGTTGCCTAAGAGCACGGGGTGATGACACCCGTCCTGAACATCCAAGCCCGGATTGTAAGCCCGATAGCAGACGGGATAAATCAAGAGCAGTTGGCTGCTGGACTTTCAACGAAGCTTAGCGAAGCTAAACATTTAAGAACACCGACGTCTCGAAACGCTCAGACCTTTCCTTCCCTGTCTTGAAGGAATGGCACGACCTGCAAGAGGACCGGCACGTCATGTTTGCTGCAGCCCTCAGTGTTCACGGTTCTGATGGAGATTGCAGGTCCACAGAGATCAGGGCTTACTTGCTTAACGTAGACCACTGGTAGGCATGTTTAGGCCATATGTTCACTGGTGTCAGATGTATAGTCTCCCCTAATCCTGTCTTCAACAGAATCATGTCAGAAGCCCTGCAGAAAGCACATTGTGGATTGGATTGGAAGCGAAGTCTAAGCTTGGAGTTGTTGAGCCGTTTGCATTACGAGGCTTTCTCGAAGCCTCTGCCGGATACTGTGCCCTTATAAAGCCAACATACCGCCCTCAACACTAGAACACCCATCAAAATGCTACCAAAGCTACAGTCAGCCTGCTGCCAACCGCTCCAGTCGACCCTCGTTGTCCCCAGGAGCTCGCTGCTGCGAAGGCGGAGGCCGCCCGACTCAAGGCGGAAGGGGCCCCAAGCATCGCGGCCTCCACGGAGGACCGAAGGGGGGGCCATAAGGCCGTTGGAGAATTTGTGGATCCAGGGCCGCAGTGTTTTGACCCAGCGTTCGATCATGTGTCGACGGAGGCTTGGTTGTTTTGGGTAGTGACTGATGCGAAGGGCTTGAGCGATCTACGAGATAACTGGATTTTAGTGGATTTTGCTGCCTGTACAGTGCTGGCGTTCGATTCATTGCTTTCGGAGTGGGGTTTAGCCATATTTCGACTTCTCGCTCATGCAGCGGTCCTATGACGATCAACGGCCAGAGAGAAGCGATCCCAGGCGCCCGTACACCCCACACGACTATCTAGGTTCCATAGGGAACAGCCCAGTGCTCGAACTGATGGTCCCTTGACGGTGCCCATAGCTCTGAAGCCCTGCGGGGGTGAACCCCCTTGCGCGACCCCCCATTAGCTTCCAGGACATGCAGAAGCTCCAGCAGGACTGATTCTGCGGGGGCTGGAAGCAGAGCTCTTTGGAGAGTTGCCCGAACCGTTTTGGGCCGCTGCCGCTGTGATACCCTAAACTAGGACTATTTAGTCTTACCAGTTGTGGGGGCTCTCGGAAGGACTAATGTTTGGACATCTTTGGACCATGGAGAGGCCCTGCATGAAGGTGTTAGATGAAATATAATACCTATATAGGAGTCCCCGACCTTTCGACTGTGGATTTCGGAGGGTTCTCCACAACTGCAGAAGCCTTGCACTAGGCCCAGGCTGTTCGTCATCATCGAATTATTGGGGTCTCGAAATTTGTGCAAAACCCCTTCATCCTAGAACCCTGAAGCCCTAGAATCCTGTGAGCCCCCCAAACCCACAAATCTAAACAGTCAGCTTCACCGCTGCAAGGAGCTCGCTGCTTCGCAGGCGGAGGTGGCACGGCTAAGGTCTCTGCCACCGGAAGGTGGCGAGCAATCGCAGGAGACGCCGGGGAATGGTGCTGCTCCGGGTTAGAGACCCGTGAGTGCACAAGGGACTGATGGATTCGCGATTGAGGGCTTGGGGGTTCGGGGTCAGGATCATCGAAGGAGGCTTCATGCGAACCGCCGAGGGCTTCAGTACCCCTGGATCTCCCATCATGCCTTCAACCTTTGCGCTGTAAGCGTGGCATGATGACAGCTTGGCTGAGATCCGGGCCTCTTTAAAGAGATGGGGGAAGCAGAGACTCCTGCTCTCGCGATCACGTGCTGTATGCTATTCAATTCTAACCGGAATCTCGAAAAGCTCGTACGTTTCCACGCCTTCTCCAGGAATGGCACAAGCTGCAAGAGGACCGACCGCAAGTAATCTTTGGAAGCCAGATGATGTGGTCTTCCCAAATTTTGTTGGGAGTCGTCTGTCTCATACCGTGCAAAGACTAGCCAATTACACCTCAGGCCGCTGCTCAAAGTGACCCCCTCTCTCAACTCTCAGCCGGGTTCTCCAAGCTTGTGTTTCGCAGCACTAGTAAAACCATGCTGTGATTGTATCGCCAAGTCTCATAGGAGCTCGCTGCCGCGAAGGCAGAGGCCGCCCGCCTCAAGGCGGAAGGGGCCGCAAGCAGCGCGGCCTCGACGGAGGACTCCAGGGCCTGAAGAAATGCAAATGTTGCAGATGCAGAGGTCGCAGGGTCGTCTTGGGAGAATCGTACCGGGCCTTCAGGCTACTCGAGTGATGGAGAAGATGAGGGCCATAGGCAAGCAAGGTCTTCGGCTTGGCATCCCGTCTAGGCTTAGAAGTCTAGAGTCTAGAGATACATAGGGGTGAGCAGCCGGGGGTTCGGGGCTTCAAGTTCAACCACACAAGCGCAGGAATTTAGGTTCAGGCGTGTTTCAACGATTCGTCCCTGCACCTGCAGCTTGAAGCCTTGATGGATCACAATGATCACAAGTAGAGTTCATCAGGCCAGGCCAGTCGCCGATGTCATCTCCAGACCCCAGACTACCGTGTGAAGCCTTTAATCATGCACCCCAGACCAGGCAGGAATAGCCCAACCTCGAAGCCACAACAACCAGAGCCTCTGGAACTATCTTTCTGCAGGGCTACTCGGTACTCGCTCCCTTTGTGCCTCTTGTGACACCTGTTTTCAGCATCCAGGACGTGCAGAAACTCAAGCAGGACTTTCCGTGGGGTGGAAGGGAAACCTTTGGAGAGTTGAAGTCGTCAACCTGCAAAGCTTTGCCCGCCAAGCCATCCTTGGCAATATGATCTCCACCCAGCTCGCAAAGCGGACCCGAAGCCCGTTGGGAACTGTATCACCGGGTGGCACCAGGAGCCCAAGATTGAGACTTAAGATCAGCGATTTGAAACCCTGAAGGAGCTCGAGGCGGCAAAGGCAGAGGCGGCCCGCTCGAAGGCACGGAGAGGGATGTTCAATCATTGAGGGGACTACTCAGAACAGGGGTTGCCAATGATCACCTCTGTGTGATGACCTACGGTAGCTACCTTGTCTCTTTGCACTAGGCCGCATGGGTCAGCTTGTACAGCTGTCCACCTCGACCCCTAAGCTCTGAACTAAGATTCGAACCATTTAAAGGCAAGCCCAAGATACCGGGCAAGCAGGTCCAAACCCGAGGCCAAAGTAGTGCCATCAGCTTTCGGCGACTCTGTGATTCTTACGCACCTATCTTCCAGAAGGTAGTTGTAGCATACGGTGAGATCTCCTTTTCGAACCCTCCTGCCCAACATCCCACACCCCGGAAGACCTGAACCGCCGCCCCCCCTCTCCCAGAAAGGAAACCTGCACACCAGCACGTACTTCCTGAGTTCCTCACGCTAGAAGCTCGAAGCCTTCGCCTTTCCCCGACCCTTCCGGAAGGCGGAACCTGGAGCTGCTGGTGGGCAAGCAGAGGACCTCGAAAAGATGCAGGGCTTGAATCGCGATGGTGCAGTGAGTTTCACTGGACTGCTTGGGTCACTATTGGTTGTGCTGGTTGCACACAATGTGTTGTTACACTACTTGTTATTGTCCAGTGTCACAATCATTCACGATCATGAGCATTACTGCTCTTGCTTAATTTCTTGCTGTAGCGACTATACCATGGCCTTCGCTATCATCTGGTCATGCGAACCCTATGCTGCTTTCATCTATGTTTTGCTAGGTCGAGGGCTTTCGAAGGCCTTCAGGATCGATTTTTTGCAGAGGAGTCTGAGGCCAAGGTTCAAGCATTAGTGTCCCGCGGACTCTGGGGATATAGGAAATGCAGCGTCCGGAGTTTGACGGCTTGAGGGCTTGAGCGGCGTAGGCTTTGCAGGCATAGACTTTGTCCTTGTTTGCGTTTGGCTCTGGCTTGGGTCATATAGGGTTGTCGGTCGTCTGGGGTTGGCAGTTGATCGGGGCTTGGACCTGGTGCAAGCAGAGCGCCTCGCAGTGTCCACCTACCAGCTATACCGCACCGTGGAAGCTTGCAAGCGTAACAAAACATGACACAGAGGGGCTGCATGGGCCAGCGGGCAGGGAAGGCGCGTCAACCCTGGATGGTGGATCGGTGACATTCTGAGACCTTATCGGCTGAGACTCGATCTCTAAAGCCAACCGAAGCTGGTTTACGGGGCGCAGGGTCCCAAGGCCAGGTTCCTCGGTCTGCCGAACCCCCGAAAAGTGGTCCTAAACCACCCAACAGACATGCTCAGAAGGATTTCTTGGCGCCAAGCACCGGGGATGTTTAGCATCCAGGGCAGGCGAAGCTCTCCGGGCAAGCCTAGACACCACTGAACAACGAAGTGCCTGCAGCAAACACCTCCAACTCTTTAGGGTCTTTCGGTGTTCAGTGCTCCGAGGCTCCGGAACTCCGAAGATGACCCGCGCAGACAACCCCAAAGCTCGCCCGAAGCCCGATTGTGGTGTGACAACTAGCACTCTGCCCATCTGGAGATACCACCCAGACCCAGATGTTTTGGGAGCCCAAATTGAGAGACCTGTCCTGAACACGAAACACCGGGCTCGGAAGCAGGAGCTTGGCGCGGCAAAAGCAGAGGCGGCCCGCTCGAAGGCAGCGAGAGGGATGTTGGACAAGGGGACTGCAGATATCGCAGCTAGAGAGAGCATTACTCACCACCAAGGTTGCGAATAAGTCCTTCCTTTCACAACCCGTTCTGCTAAGCACCAAGATCCCACATCCCGGGAGGGGAGCTCTGCTGCCCTAAGCCAACCTCATAAAACCTCTTAAGCTCCCAAAGCTAGACGCTCGAAGTCTTCTCCTTTTCTCGACACTTCTGGAAGGCAGAACCTGGATCTGCTGGTGGACCAACCGAGGACTTCGAAAAAGGGCAGAGCTCAATCTGGATGGTATGATGCAAAGTACATGTCATGACAACAATCGCTCGCGTGATTGAATCTTCAATTGAAGGCGAGATGCGTGGAGCCCTATGCGCTCGACGTAAACTGAATCGAACCTTCGCAATGAACCCTCCCGTGAATCCGTTTTGGAAGAATTGTTCTAGGTTTGAGACCCCGCACCTTAGGGTTCCATGGGGGCGTCAGCACGTGGCACTCCCAATGTCGCCTGTGATTGGCTGTAGACCCATAGAAGGCCCGATAACCCTAAGTTTCTGAGCGCAATCCTGCTCAGGAGGTGCAAAAGCTGCAGGAGGACCGATCCCTGGCAGCCGAATAGTACCGGGACAACTCACAAAGTCGAAGATTCCCCGGCTATTGTGCATGTTTGCCGCACCCGTCTTGTGGTCCAAGGGGATCTTTGTCGAAATCTGTTGCAAGGAATTTCCGGTGGGGCGCTGGACTGGGTGTCGAGGTTTACATCGGTAGTTGACAGTGGCTGTCCAGCTCCGTCATATTGTGCTTACACCCACCCATTTTAGACATCGCATGGTCTAAGGAGCCGTTCTCATTTTCAGCGTTTCGTCTATACCCCGATCCCAGACCCGAAGTGCCTGATCTTAATTGGACCCACAAGGCCAGATTGAACCTCAACCTCGAATCACCCTAGGCCCCAGAAGCAATCCCCTCTTAAAGCCCTAGCCCAGCAGCTTCAACTCTAAATGACTAAACCGTCCACACCCCAAAGCCACGAAGCTAAACCTTGCTCTTATAGGCCATCCTCTGGTGAGCCCTACACTTCCTCCATCGTTGCAACCGGAGCCTTCGCAGGAGCTTGCGGCCGCCAAGGCCCAAGTGGAGCTTCTGAGCTCATCGACCCCCGGAGGGGAGGAGCGAATTGGGAGTTTCCGAAAACTAGGGCGACCTTACTGTGGACTCCTTATAATAAGGTACCATTACTATTAAGGGTGCCATGAAGGGTTTCGGGATTCAGGCTTCGTGGGGATTCCAGGAACTTGGAGGGTTTTCTTGCCACGTTTCCACCAAGGCAGGTTCTTCATGCCCGTCTCTGTTGTTCAAGCGGCTTTGGGAGACATCGGAAGCTTCCGCAGATGGCTGCTGCAAGTCCAATGTCTTCGTCCTCATAAAACCTAAACCCCCATGCCAGCATCGACCACAGCCGGAAGCATTCAAAAATAAGAGCAGGAACAGGAAGGATCTGAGTTATGGGCTGTGCTGGTTCTCAAAGCAATGCAGAGAGTTCTTGATTTCAAAGCCTCCGGTCGCAACATCACATTCTTCCGTGGTTAGGAGGTGCTGAAGCTGCAGGAGGACCCCATCCGTGCCTCTTCGGTTTGGTGGCGGTCTAGAGGGGTTTGAGCCCTTCAGGGCTGTTCTGCCTGCGAGCTGCCGTCAACTCTCCAACATAAGGCCTGTTCATAGGTGGTTTTAAAAAACATAGGTGTTTAGGTTTTTAAAAAACGATGGCCCTGAAACCAATTCTATCTTGTCCCTGGCCCTGGCCTTCGGGCAGCTTGGAACTCGAGGAAGAAGTTCGAATCAAATGGGTCCGGATAGCAACCATGATCGTAGCTACCGAATGCCGTGATCCTGAGCATGTTCCGATAGGGCTCCAGTCCCGACGATCCGGCCCAAACTACAAGCTACCTTTGAGTGCCTTCGGGAATCTCTTCAGGTCGAGTCGGTTGATGCATTGAAAAACCCACCCGACCGCCGTTGAGATCGGTAGGTATGAAATCTGGACGCAGCGGGCTGCATCTTCGGGTTGAGAGGCTAGGTTCGGGATGCTGGGATTACGGGTTACGGGCAGTGTGGAAAGCCGACTCCGAGGTAATCGCAGCATCCAGCTTGGCTGACAAGACAGGTTTTTCCCTGAAAATGGTCGCAAAGCATTTTCATAGCTTGCTGCTTTATATGAGTCTTCCTGTGGCATATAGCAGAAACCATGACCCTGAAGTTAGTTATTCTACAACAACGGGGTGGTTGGGTGCGACCCTCTAGGTGCAACTTCACCAAACTAAGATTCCTGATTTTGACCCAGGTCTGGATCTCTCTTGTTGAAGGTTTGCTGAGTTCTGCCCAATATAGATGCACGAAGGATTAGCAACGCTGTTCCTTAGGTTCCCTACTACATTTCGCCTATAAGATACCCCACCCCCTTCAAAAACAAAGCACAATAAAACACCTTAATCTCATCTGTCATGACGGCCCTGAAACACCCTAAAACCTGAGAGTCACAAGTTCCCGTTCGGCCGCCATGCTGCGCGTTTGGAGCGCTTCCGGTCAAATGTTGACCTGTCTGACTGGCGCGGATCTCCTGGCAGGAATTGGCATGTAGATCGAGTTGTTGAAGCGAAGCCTCCTTAATTTTGGGATGGAAGGGTTCGTTGAATTGTAAATTCGGGGCTTCGGCGCCGTGTTCATGATCATGCTGTGTGGAGGGTCCTTCGAAAGCCTTGACTGTAAACTTTGTCATTAAGACCCTACCCTAAACCCTAAACCCTATAAGCCCTAATCCCTATAAACCCTAAACCCTATAAACCCTAAACCCTGTAAACCCCAAACCAAGAGTGGGCCACGAATTGCGGCTCCAGGGTTTTTGAGTTCAAGTTTTGGGGCCGCCAGCTCGTGGCCAAGGACGTGATGATGATAGGCACGGTGGAGGCCTTGAAGCAGCGCTTGCGGGCGGAGCATCGTTTTCCTGCAACCTGGACGATTGAGGCATTCCGGCCACTGGGGTTTTGACTTGGTTTTGTGGGGTTTCTGGCCCGGCTTCTCTGCTTAATAGACTATTCGGTCTACAATTGCAGACCACCCCGAGAATCCCCCTGCACAATTCGCCCCCAAGGTGAGCTTGCAACAGCTGGTTTGTGACGGCGAGCCCTTGGCAAATGACGCCGAAGTACCTGTGCCAGCAGAGCTGCACCTGGTGTTGATATCCAGCGAGGGCGCCACAGACGAGCAGAAGAAGGACATGACAAATGAGCTGGTTCTCTATGCAAACGAGGGTGAAGTTGATGTGGTGCGCTTGCTCCTGAAAGCCGGAGTTGACCCCGACGGGCTCGACGACTATCTTGATACAGCTCTTGTTAATGCATCCTTCTATGGCTATCTTGAGGTTGTGCGCATGCTGCTGGAAGCCCGGGCTAGCACCACTCTTCGCGAGAGGAGCGGCGACCTTCCACTTGTCAAGGCATCTGGCAGAGGACATCTCGACAACGTGCGTTTACTGTTGGAAGCTGGCGCAGACAAAGATCTCCAAGGTTGCCGGGCAAGAGGTGTAGTTTAGATATGCAAGGAACCAAGTGGCCCTGCCCCGAAGTTTTCGAAACCCGAAATCTTAATTCAGGGCCTGTTTGAATTTTAGTCTGGGATCATTCTCGCTTGGGTTCCCTCGTACATGTGTCGCGCAGACCCTTAGTTCGGTTGGAAATTCAGGCTTCTGTGTAATGTAACTTGTAAGGTTTACGGGTCAAGAAACTCCTCTCTTAAACACATCAACCCCGTAATATTTGCCGAAGCCCAATCCCGGCTTCTACACTGGGGCTCCAAGGCATGTGGGGGCACACAGCTGTTAATCGTGCATGCCAAGAAGGGAAGGCAGATCTGGTGCGATTCCTGCTGCCTGGATTTCGTTTGGGGTCTCCAGTCCCTCGAAGTTTCAGATTGAGGATTCAGGGAAAAAGGGTTTCTTTTGCCATCCCGGCGCCGTTGTTGGATGCAGCTTTTGGTTTCAGAGTCAGGGTTGAAATTTACTAAGTCAAACCAGTGCCTTATAGGACATGGAATTGGGTAAGACGAACCTAAAAAAGCTCAACAGCAGAACTGATTGCTCTTTCCGAGTGGCTTAGCAAAGCCCCAGACCCCTGTAAAGGGAACTCCAGAAAGTTGGAATATGGATCAATGTAGGATCCCCTATAATTTACCATAAAGGGGTTACGATAATGATATTCCAACTTTCTGGCTTTTACTTTAAAGCATCCAAAAGATGGATTTTGTTCGAGTAACTGTACCGACTACAATGGGTAAAGTCGGGCAAAAGATGGGTTTCGTTTGTTGGGTGATCCATTCCGGGTTGCATAGCACAGCTGAGGCTGGACTCAGAATGCAGGTTCCTACATTATTAAAGTATCCTTATAGATCCCTTATAGTAACCCTTATAGATCCCTTATAGTGTCCTTATAGATCCCTTATAGTAGCCCTTATAGATCCCTTACAGTAATGCTTGCAGATCCCTTCAAAGCCCAGGCTGACCCAAGGTGTCAACACGGAAATCGCGGATGAGAACCAGAAGACTCCCATCTTCCGAGCTGCCGAAGCGGGATCCTCGGTGGTTCCGCAGAAGCAGCCGCTTTCGTTTCAAATGCTGTCGTTTCAGAAGCCTCAAGGGTGCTAGACACGGGGGCCTAATGGTACGATGTATGCGATGTTGGGGCTGGGAGTGTCTTGGAATAGATTTCTGATTGGATGCTTTGCTCGTTCCTTGTGCCTGCCTGCTTGTATCTTGCTAGGAAGCGAGTATAGCTTTCTGGAGTCGGTGCTTTTTTCTCTGCATTAACTGCCAGACTCAGGAAACGAGGAGATTCTTCGGATGCTGTTGGCAGACGGCGCCAATCCAGAGGCGCCCTCGGGGCACGGGGAATCCTTACTGTCGTTTGGGCCCCATTTAAGTTGTCTAGGTGTATGTAGGGGGATCTGAATTGAGGCTTTAGGGTAGCGGTCACGGCTACGGGGCTTAGACATTAGAGGGGTTAGGACATGACGGGGGATGGCAGGATAACTCGCTATGGTGAGTGGGCATCTTGAGGGATTACCCCTCCCGAAGCACCAAGCCAGCCTCAGGGAATGAAGGGGCCCGAAACATCCACTGATGCTCTTCTTGGAGTTCCTACTTTTTCATCGTACCGCAAAGCCCGGTCTGATCATCTAGCTCCGACCTCGATGATCCTACGATCCCTTGCCGCTAGCTGGGCCTTTTGGGTAATTCTTTCGCATCGGTCTGCAAAAGCTCACACGCAGAACGACATTCAGGAGACCAAACAATTCCAGCTTACACACATGGTGGTACGACCCACCGTACTGAGAATGCGACTAAGAGAAGGCGAGATGTCGAAGAGAAGCAGAATATCCGCACAGAGTCATAATCGTCTTAAGCAGAATCATCATTCTGCTCGGAACCCTAATTAATCGCGCAACCGTAAATCCATATAACATTCCTTAACCCTGCACGCATCCTAAATCCCTAAACCCTCGTAAACCTCATACAGCCGACATCGTTTACAGTTGCACAGGTTGCCGATGAGGATGGCGAAACACCGCTCTTCGTGGCAGCCCATTTGGGCGATCAGCTGACTGTTCCTGGGTTTCGAAGTAGTAACCTTGTGCCATCTTGTGCCCTGTTTGTAGGGTTCCATAAGAGTTTCATGGGTGTAGGGTTGAGAGTTCAGGGTTCTAATGTCCTGACCGAAACCTAGGTGCGGCTGCTCCTTGAAGCTCGCGTAATGCCAAACACCGCAACCGCAGCACGGGCAGCTGTTGGAGGTTTTAGGTTTGAGGAATGCCTTACTCTTATCATGAAGGTTTCTTGTAACACTTTAATATGTTATTATCATGTACAAGAGGGGTGTTAAGGTGCTGGCCATGCAGTGTGATTTAGAGCGGGTTAGGATGTTAGGTCTTCTGCAGAACTGCCAAGCCGTATCTTAGAACACACTTCAAGGAAAGATTGAAAGACAAAACGCTGAAGGCAAACGGCGAGGGCCCTTTGAACATCGCAGCCCGATGTGGTTTTCTGGAAGTCGTGCGCTTACTGCTGGCGGCCGGCGCTTCGGTCAGCCAGCACCTTGTCATAGGATTCCAAAAGGCGTTTTGGCCTATGGGGGTTTAGTAGGGATTAGGGTTCCCATAATAGGGCTCATATAAGGAATCCCTAGGCCCTACCCCAAGAATCTTAAACCCCCCTTTTGGCCTCCCGTCAACCTTGCCTTCAAAAGCTGCAGCTTTCTGCAAAGTACCCGGCCTTGGCAGGGGGGTTCAGGTTTTACGGCCTGGAGACTTAGGGTCCGGCAGATAGGTGAGATTTTTTGTATAGGTGAGGGTATGGGAGTTTCCGAAAATTAGGGGTACCTTATTTGGGAGTCATAATAAGGATCCTCCTACTTTGAGGTACTATATTAGGGTACCCTATTTTCGGAAACTCCCATATGGGGTTTAAAAGGTTTAGGATGTAGAAGACCTCAGTCACAAGGCTTCGCGAAGTTGTCCCTTTGTTGTTTCGGCCTCAGAGTACTGAGGCAGACGCTGATGGTGGCAGCTCAAGCAGGCCACACCGAGATGATGAATGCCTTTACAGACGCTGGCGCGGTTCCTTCGTCTGTGAAAGTTGCACGTTTTGTTGTCATGTTTCTTCAAGTTGTTGGTTTTGGCTGCAGGGTCGTTGCCCTGAATTCGGTACTGTCGTAGCGACAAGGATCCGAACTGGACGGAAGACTCCACCAGTGCCGCAGCCTCGGTGGCATCGAAGCTGTACACAGCTCGCCTCTTGTCAACTCCCAGGTGATCCAGAAAGTCCCCCAGGCTTTGAATTCCCCAAACCCGACAGTCAAACCCCCCAAGCTCCACATGGCCGCCGAAGGTGGGCTCTGCCTGCATGTCGTAGCATGTTATCCCAAGTCCCTTGGAGCTTGCAAAGACCAAGACTCCAAGAGACCCTCCCCCCTGCGCTGTACTAATGTAGGTACTTCGGACCATTAAGTTCCTCATCTTCCGAAACCCACATATATCGCTGCAGGAGATTTCATTAAAATCATCCGTACAAAGTAGAACCTTCATGGATCAGAAAGCCCCTTGCTGCAGGTTCTTCAAGAGTCTTGAGTAATCGAAAAGGCGAGCCTTTCTGGCCGACCTCCATTGCCTTTCTTGCGAAGCGCGAATGCCGGCCGGAAAAAAGGAAACAACTCTTTGAAGTTAGGCTTTTGAGTATTTGGAGCCCAGGTTTCGAGGAAAAAAGTGGTTTTGGGCAGATTGCGGTTTGAGGGTAGTTTGCTTATAATTACCTTCATGAAAAGCCCCACTTTGTGGTTCTAAGGCCTATGGTTGGCTCGAAGATGCGTCGCCTGTTTTTCTCTTCATGTTAAGTGCTGTCTTCGTAGTTCCAGACGTTATGGGTTTGGGCCTTGGGCTCATATTGATAAACTCTGATGCATCCCAGTTTGACCCTTCCAAGCCTGTTACAGTGCCAAGGAAGAATCCTATGTAGGATTCAGTTGACTTTCTTGCTGGGAATCGAGAGAACCAAGTGTGACAACAGCCTTGCGCCCAAGCCGTAGAAGCAAGTTAGTGCATGTTCTCTCCTGCAGGAGCTGCGGAAGCTTCGAGAGGACTTCCGCCTGCACTGCATGTGATTCTGAGCTACATGAATCCCCTCCTGCCTTATCCGAGAAGACTCCAGGCCCTCAACCCGAAAGCAAGAACAAAACCGAAAGGCAACCGTAGCAGTGGGTACATCCCTGAATGCTAAACTCTGAGGCCCGGAGCTGCAGAACGCCGCATCATTCCAGCAAGCCAGGCTAACATCCAGACGCCCAGGGCAGCCCAGTGGCGGAATGCCAATATTCTGTAAGCCTCACGGAGCTCCAGCAAAACGGACATCAACATCGAATCAACCATACCCGGGATGGCCTATATCATGCAGCATCATACAGCATACAGCTTGAAGTTGTGATCCAGGCCGGCAGCCATGACACTCTTCACGAATAAAGTTTAGTACTGATTCTGAAGCTGCAAAGGGACTGCATGAATGCTGCAGTGCGTATGTATACTCTATGTGCAGCCAGCACAAGTGAAGCACGTGCGAATACCAACAGCCGACATAAGCAATAACTCCAGAACATAATTCCACGTCCGGCTTGAGAATGGTATACAGATGTGTGATATGCACATCAGGCAATAATGCTCAGAATTTTGCAATATTGTAGTGGGCCATTAGATGGTGGTGGTGATGATCATGATGGCTAGTAATTCCGAATTCCCATGTTTCTTATTTGTCATTCATCTTCTCACTATGATTAGGATTATGCTGTCGATGATGGTGAATCTGAAGGCGATGATCCAATGACCGCGATGATGATCATGACGGTCACAGGCCATGTGGCTCTTGGGTTGTCATCGAAGTGGCAGTAGACTAGGGAGACTAAAAGTCGTGACTTCTGGATCCTAGGGCCTATAACAATTCTAAATCCATGGAAGTCAATGTCGATTCTTTGCAGGAGCAGGCAACCAGGCAGTCGGAGCAGAGCAGCTCCCGCCAAGAGGCAGCTGAGACTCCCGAGGAGCGGTGGCACGGCACCACGTTGAGAGTGCATTCCTCGCATTATCCACTTTGTTTTTTAGGGGCAGAAGAGTTTCCGGCGGACATGCACTTCGGTCTCGGCTGTGAGCCGTGACGGCCCATCAAGATGTACAACGCCCGGTGTATGTTATCCACCCAAAGTGAGACAGGCGACATAATTGACAGCAAGGTCACCATACAGAAGCAGCAAAGACAAGTCACTAGGCCAGGCTGACGATGCGGCGTCAGATGGACAGGAACATGGCACTGTCTCTTATGCTTTGCCTTTCCACTGCCGCCCTCAGCCTCTCAGAAGGAGTCTGGGGCTCACCGTCCTGGAAGGTGAGCTTCGGGCCATGTTCGGTCCTGCAAGACGGCTGCATTGCGCGCATCTTCGAGGAAGACAGCCAAGACAACTCTTGTTCCATCGAAGTTGAACAAAATGGCAGGCATATTGCTATCGAGATGTTGGCTTCCTCGCAAAAAGATGGCATCGCCTCCTGGAAGCTCTGCCTCAGTGAGGCCGCTGCTCCATCGAGGTCGGAAGAGCAGAGTGCCATGCAGGCCTTCGAAGGCTCCTCCCCGTGGCACGTGCTAAGAGGGCCATGCAAAGTGAGAGCAGCCGATTGTGTCGGGAGCCTCCCCTCGCAGTTTTCACACGGTGCTTTCACGGATGACGACTCCTGCATCATCAAGGTGAAGCCTGACCCCGGGAGGTCTATCAGGATCACGGCCTTCTTTGCGTCACCGCACCTGGAGAAGGATGGCACTGGCACTCCGTGGCAAGTTCTATGCTTTCAGTCCCAGGAGCTCCGCTCGCCGAAGAGTGACTGGACCCAGAGGCGTTACGGCTCCAATTTGCTTGCCAACTCTCGGACTGGAAACATGGAGGGCTCCTTCGGCGGAGACGTGCTGTGGACTTTCCAAGCTGGAACGACCTCTATGGACTGGGTAAGTTCTGTGCAGCTGGACAGCGCCGACAACATCGTTGTGGCTGGCTACACTTTGGGCTCTTTCAGCGGCGACAGTGGATATTCCAGTTTCGACATTTATGTGATGAAGCTCAGCGGCGCAGGAACGGAGCTGTGGACTTTCCAAGCTGGAACGGATAATTGGGACGAGACATATGCTATGCAGATCGACAGCGGCGACAACATCGTTGTGGCAGGCTTCACTGAGGGTTCTTTCAGTGGCTACAGCAATCGGGGCAACGATGACATTTTTGTGATGAAGCTCAGCAGTGCAGGAACGGAGCTGTGGACTGTCCAAGCGGGAACGGACGACTTGGACGAGCCCTATTATGTGCAGATCGACAGCTCCGACAACATCATTGTGGCAGGCTCAACTTTGGGCTCTTTCAGTGGCTACCTCAATCGGGGCGGCAGGGACATGTTTGTGATGAAGCTCAGCAGCACAGGAACGGAGCTGTGGACTTTCCAAGCTGGAACGGAGGATTCGGACGAGACATATTCTATGCAGATCGACAGCAGCGACAACATCGTTGTGGCAGGCTTCACTGAGGGCTCTTTCAGTGGCTACAACAACACGGGCAGCGGGGACATTTTTGTGATTAAGCTCAGCACTGCAGGAACGAAGCTGTGGACTGTCCAAGCGGGAACGGACGCTTGGGAATCGCCACGTTCTGTGCAGCTCGACAGCGCCGACAACATCGTGGTGGCAGGCCGCACTTTGGGCTCTTTCATTGGCTACAGCAATCAGGGCAACGTCGACATTTTTGTGATGAAATTCAGCAGCACAGGAACGGAGCTGTGGACTTTCCAAGCTGGAACGGACGCTTCGGAATGGTCATATTATATGCAGCTCGACAGCGCCGAGAACATCGTTGTGGCAGGGAGCACCGAGGGCTCTTTCAGTGGCTACAACAATCGAGGCAACAGCGACTTGTTTGTCATGAAGCTCAGCTTTCCAAGCTGGAACGGACACTTCGGAATGGCCGCGTTCAGTGCAGCTCGACAACGCCGACAACATCGTTGTGGCAAGCAGTACTTATCACTGTGCCTTGTGCTCCAGCAATGACATGGTGCTGATGAAGCTCAGCAGTGCAGGAGCAGAGCTGTGGACTTTCCAATCTGCAATTCCTGATTGGGACGAGCCGTATTCTATGCAGATCGACAGCGCCGACAACATCGTTGTGGCAGGCTCCACGTCGGGCTCTCTCAGTGGCTACAACAATATGGGCAGCGAGGACATGTTTGTGATGTATTTCGGGTCGGTAACCACTTCTTGGACTGTTACCTCAACAGCGAGCGCGAGTCAAACGACAAGCTCCACCTCCACCTCGAGCATCACGTCTTCAAGCTCCGCAACCTCCAGTTCCACAAGCACAGGCACCATATCTTCTTCAATGACCGCAACATCCAGCTCGTCAACGTCCCTCATGTCAAGCTCCAGCACATCTTCGACTTCCACGACGTCAAGCACTTCCACTTCCTCCACATCTTCGACTACTTCCATGCTTGCTCAAACGACTTCTACCTCAACATCAGCGTCGTGGACAATCACGAGTCGAACGACAAGCTCCACCTCCACCTCGAGCATCAGACCTTCAAGCTCAACAACCTCCAGTTCCACAAACACAAGCACCAGCGCATCTTCGACTTCCACGATGTCAAGCGCATCCACTTCCTCCACATCTTTGACTATTTCCTCACTTACCCAGACGACTTTCACAGGCACAAGCACCACTTCCACGACCACCTTGCAGCAAGTTATTCAGCTGCCAGCTGATGTCTCAGTCAACACGGCTGAGGGCCGCATCCTGGAAAGCACACTGCAGGAGGCGCTTGCCCTGATGGAGATGCAGGGGGCCAATAGCTCTAATTCCTTGGTGAGGGCCACAGCTTCGGGAAAGGTCACAGTATTGAAGCTCCGCAGCCTGGTAGATGACTCCGAGGGATCGGATCCGCGGGATCGTGTGATCTTCGGAACCGGTGATGCCATGGAGGCTCCGGGTGTAACAGTTTCGGTCCCGCCGCAGTTGGTGCAAGACTTGCTGCAGGGGGCTAACCCGATGCTCGCCGTAACGGAGGTCTTGCAGAATGTGTCTGAGACCATGCCCAGCAACGGCGAGGGTAGCAGCCAGATTGTGTTGAACTCTCCAGTCGTCGAGATTTCCATCCTGCTGGAAGCTCAAGGCAAAGTGTCCGTGGCCAGTGTTTCGGATCTGGCAGAACCTATTCTATTCAGACTGAGCGATGCTCCACGCCAGCCACAGGATGTTTGCGTGTTTTTCAATCACACTTCACGTGCTTGGAGCTCCATCGGACTGCGGGTGGCTTCCGCCAATGCCTTGAGCGGGAGGTGGTGTCACACCACCCATCTGTCGCTGCTCGCCGTCGCGCATGTGGTTCCGTTTGAGAGTCTCATCGCCGAGCAAGACGCCAACTTCGCCTTGATATCCATAGCCCTTGCTTCTGCCAGCATCTTCGCAGGGGGCGGCCTTGTCTTCCTTCTGTGGTACTATCGCTACAAGCCGGCACGTGGGGGCTCTGTGCAAATCCAGGGGAAAGGAGGTGAGACCTTCGTTGTGACGTATTCGCGCTCCACACGAAGCCGAAGCGCTGAACCGGAGCCCGAGGAGCCCACGAAGTCGATGTCCACGAGGTCTTTGAGCTTCCTACAGGCATTCCGCTCCGAGGCTTCGGGTGCTCCAGCCGCCTCCAAGGTCCACATCGAGTGGAAGGTCCAGGCGGATGATTGGCAGACCCGACTCCCGGACTTGGAGGGCTGGACGGGGGACTTGGAGCAGCACCACGCTGCAGAAGGGGGCCCGGGCCCGGGGCCCCCCGTCGCTACAGCCGCTGTAGATGCACCAGATGTGCTCGCCACTCTGAGGCGTGAGGAGACGGCAGCCATGGAAGAGACCGAGCGACTGGAGTTCTTGCAAGAGGTAGATGCACCAGTGCCTGTGGATACCGTGCAAGTGGCCGAAGATCCGGAAAAGGCGGCCACGGCCGTGCCATCCTTCTACAAGAGCGGAGAAGCTGTTCTCTACTTCTCGATCACGAATCAACGTTGGCTGGTGGCGCGGATCCAGGGGGACCCCGCATGGATGAACCCAGAAGAGCAGATTGACCGCGAACCCTGGGCTCTTGTTCAAGTTTGACTTAAACATGTTAGCATGCTAGGAAGCTTTAAATAGCAATTTTGTGTGAAACTACTGGTACGTCTCTTAGCCAGAGCCCAGGAATTACTGTCTACGGGCGAGCTTCCTCACTACAACTGCATCCTCCAGGGTCCGAAGCAGCAGCTGCGACAACGGGTTCCCCTTAGCCAGCTCCGACAGAGCCTGCGACGTGGAGAACCTGTTCAAGTCCATGTACCTCGATTAGTGCTAGAACTTAGGATGTATAGGGGGTTTAGGGTCATGTAGAGTTAGAGGCGTCTAGGGCTAAGGGGTCGGGTTTCCAAGCGTTCACTCGCAATCAAGGTTGTTACAGTAGCCTTTTACATCTTTGTTGCAGGATTTGGGGCACAGAGCAGTCCGTCTTGTATGGTTCATACCATACATAGGGGCCTGAGTAATAACTTACCAATACTGTTCCTCAGAGTTCTTGAATTGTTGGCGGGTGTGCATGCGCGGCTACAGCTGCACGGTTTCCGAACGTTGCAGGGTTCCACCCGCGACTCCATAAGATAGACCGAGCCGAAAGTGCGAAGGCCCTTTGGAACCTTAACCTCAGTTCGGCATTTGGGTTTGGGGTAGCAGGAGTATCGGCTTAGTACGCGCGGCTTGCTCTGTGCCTTCCTGGGGGCCAGCCTGGAGCCTTGCACCTCTAGAGTTTCAATTTAGCAGTATAGTGTCGATCCGTGTAAAAGGTATATAGGACTATGCAATTTACTTTAAAGGTTACGAATCTAGAATCTGGAACCTTGCCGGCACTAGGAGCCTGATCTCGGAAAACCTGTGCTTTTGGTGCGTTTTCCCGGGGTTTTAGAAGCGGCGTTCGGGTTTCCAGGTGGAGGAGCAGGCGCCCAACGGGCGAAGAAGCAGAGCAAGCCGGACATGGTCTTGGAAGTCCGGGCACATACGCGAGATCCCTCCAGTTGCCATGACGACAGTCCACCCTTATGCGGTGACTCTTCGCTCAGGCGACACAATTAATGTGGACCTGGCGAGAATTCGCCGCCTCTACGAGAGAGGCAGCCGCATTCGTGTTTTTGGAGGACTACATGGTTGGCAGTACGGAACTGTCTTTGAGGATGGTGCGGAAGCAGCACCGACAACATCAAAGTCATGGTTACCCGAGGGCATGGAAAGCGATAATGCAGAAAAGGGGATTCTGGTGCGAGTCGACGGCACGGACGACCTTGTCCCTGTGCCGTGCTATCTTGTAGACGTTCTGTTGTCAATATGACATGCAAACACGGCTCCCACGTTGATTGGATTCGCACCAGCCGGACGAATCTCAAACTGAGCCATTTGAGTGCCAGTGCCTCGGTTGTTGGTGAAGCTGTTGGAAATGAATTCTTCTGTCGCCGCAAGCGAATTCAGCCATGTGGGGAGCCGATTTGCTTTGCGAACATTGACGTGGCGATGCCCGGGCGTCGCCCAAAGGCGTCAAGTAACACAGCAGAACAGCACATGCGACGAACTCGAAGGAGCTGTAACCTTTGTTTTCAGATACAGGGGCCCATAATCGGAATTGTATTCTAGGGCTTGTGTTGGAGTCCCAAGTCTAGAGGACAGCTGATGTCGCATCTGCTGTCAGATGGTTTTAGAAGTATCGCGCCAAAGATTCTGCCTTCTGACCTGTGTGCCTCTCACTCCGTTGCATGCAGTCCAGGCTCGCGCGTTAGTTCAGTTGGATGCATGCCATCCAGCAAGAACAAGTTGTGCTCTGCGCACGTGTAAGCCAAGCTTGCACGGGCCAAAGCTTTAATTGAATCACTTGGCATTTAGGGCTTGCGGAGTTTTGGGCAATGAAGGTATCCTTGCTCTTCATGTCACTGCAGAAGAACTCAGCCACGCAAAGAGCCGGTTTGTCTTGCGAACATTGACTTGGCGATGCCCAGAAATGCCATGAGACATCAACTTGATCGGGTGTCGCCCAAAGGACCATACCGAGGTTTTGTGCAGAAAGTGGGGTTGCTGGTGTCAGCGGCTGTTTCGTGATGCTGATAGGCTGTTGCTTAGCCAGCCTGTGACCTGAAACAGCAAATCCTCACCTTCTCATCACAGGTGAAAGCCATCGATTCATCCCTTGTTTGTTGGCAGTCTTACCCAGAATTGAAGTGTCTGAGTCATACGGCTCATGCAAAGGGGCTCGATGCCTCTTGTTTGAGAGTGTTGGTGTAGGATTGAGCACTGCGCTGGCCAGGATGTCCTCAAGCTCCAAGAGGACCAGCCTTGCGGGAGCAGTTGCTTACACGTCAGGGAGCCCACCACGTCCGCTCTGCAACTTAGGGACACTGTGTGGCTATTGTGTCAGTAGAACGAGTGCCTACATATGCATGTGGTATAGGGTTTGAGTGCCACATGCCCCTGCAACTGCGACGGGATGCAGAAGCACAGCGCCACGTACAAGCGCTCACACACACACACACACACAAGAGCATCTCGACGAATAAAAAACCGCTTGAAAACCTTCGACTTCCGGAGCCATGGTTGGCTCTGTCATCGGTCGAACAGTGTAAAGACCACCTCGGCACATCAGCTTCCGGAATCCCCGGACTCTGCCGAGGGAGTCGACATGCTTGCCTCGGCCTGGAGCCACAGAACGCTCGCACAGACCCTTCCAAGGCAGCTCAGAAAGCCCCACAACAGTCAACGTCCGAGAATCCCCGAAACCCCAAGTCGCCAAGAACCCCAAAAGCGCAGGAGCTGAAGGCTGCTCGAGCAGAAATTGCTCAGCTCAAGTCACAGGCCCCGTCGCAGCCGGAAAAACTCGAGGAGCCACTGCCTACACGGTTTCTCATTTCCTTGCTCTGTTCCTCTTCCTTGCATTCGTGTTGGGCGGCTTAGCTCTCGTGATGATGTATCAAGTGGTTCCTGCTTGATTTGTGGTGGGGGAGCTTCTGCGGGTGTGGGGATCTCGGTCATGAATGCAGGGCTTCGGAGGTTAGGAGGTTCTTCAGGTGTGTAGCCTGTCAAGAAAGCAACAAAGCGATGTGGCAGAGGAGCTCCGTGGAGAAATGGCTGCCCCGCCGGCTGCCACCGAGACCGTGGCCAGCGTCGAGGCCGGAAGAGAATGCAAGATGTGTACTTAGGCGTAATTCGGCTTGATGTTTCGATGTAGTCTTGGGGCTGCAGGCGGAGTTTTGGGTGTAGGTTTGTGGCTCAAGAGTTTACTAATGTTTCATCTTCGCCCCCACCCGTAGCTAAGCCACTGTTGATCGCAGGGAAGATTTTACTTTAGTAGTCGCTTGGCAGATATCCTCAGCCGTACACTCGACACCGCAAAAACCCGTGGTTAAAAGAGCGGACCCCAAAGCATACGGCCCCACATCACATGCCACATCCGGCATACTTCCCTGAGGTTGGGCCGGCCCCAGCCACGGAGGCCAAACAGGGTTGTTTAATAATGCTTAGCAAACGTATGCGAAGCTCCCAGGCCACATGCGACCACGCCCATGGTCCGCAATTCGGCTTTTGAATAGGCTGATGTTGCTAGGGGTGTACTGGATGGGGCTTGCGGTTTAGGCCTCATAACTCATCTGCTTGAGCAGTGTGCAGCTTCAAAGTGCTGGTGTTTGCAGCCTAAAGGAACCCAACTAAAGAACCCTAATAATGCCCTTTAAAAGGACCCTACTAGGCTACGTCCAAAGCAGGGACACGACTTCAGTTGCGTTGGAAAGCGTACAGAGAAGGTCCCCGCAATCCCGGCGTCATGGATATTCTTCCCGTAGATGCAGTCTCTCAATACTTACAGGAATTACACCCAAACTCCAAAACCTCATTTCAGTTGAGGCCCCCTGTGACTCCAGCAGGAAGCTGCGGCGTCAGCGGCAACGGCCCCCGTGGCTGCAGCACCGGCCACTGCCGGAGCCGCGTCAAGTTCGGAGGCAGCTGAGGAAGCCAAGGCAGAGATGAGTTCGTATTCGGATGATCGATGTCTGTATTCTACATAATGTGAACTCATGGATGATGTGAATTCATGGGTTCAATCGTCACCTTTGAGGTTTAGGGTTTTGCTGCTTGGGGCTTTGTACGTAACTGTATTCTCCGATTGGGGGTTCAGTTTTCGGTTTGTGGGTCTCAGGCACAGCGCGAGGGGTCGCAACACAAGGTTCCCTGTGCATGTTTTGCCAGGCTGCTGACCCAATTCAATCGGCCTGACTTGGAATGTTTAGCCAAGGCCTCTCTAGGCAGACAGCCTCAACACAGCAAACACAAAGTTAGACCGCAGGGGCTTCGATCCCGACGCTTTCGGTAAGGACCTCCTAATACGGTGTCCATCCTGGCAAGAAGAATGTCGTTGGCAGAGGCATCCCCCGCCTCCGGTGGAGCTTCGGTCCTCGGACCGGGAGAAGGAGCCGCCACCGCGAGCACCGAGGCCAAGCTACTGCATAGCGCATACTAATCACTAATCTCTAGGTCATTTTGCTTCATCTTGCAGATCATGGTGCAAGCACTCTGTGCTGCTGCTACTATCTACTACTACTACTACTACTACTACTACTACTACTACTACTACTACTACTACTACTACTATACTACTACTCTATACTACTACTACTACTACTACTACTACCACTACTACTACTACTACTACTACTACTACTACTACTACTACTACTACTACTACTACTACTACTACTACTACTACTACTACTACTACTACTATACTACTACTGCTACTACTACTACTACTACTACTACTACTACTACTACTACTACTACTACTACTACTACTACTACTACTACTAGCACTAGTAGTTTGCGACAACAACGACGACCACGACCCAGTCCTGATGCTGTTTTTTCTGCGGCTATTGCTAAGTCTATCTCTCCACGTTGACACATAATGTGAATCCAATGGCAGCCGAGCCTCAAGGCAAAAGCCTAGTTTCATGTTCTTGGATCGCGTAATTGCTGCCTGGCTGCATGGGTTTGAGGTCCGGCTGCATACTGATCGGGTACAACTCAAGATGATGAGCCCGGCCGCAAATCCAATCGAGGGCGGTCTTTCCATTTCCAAGGCCACATTGAGGCACTGTCGCGTGCGCACGTTCCGGCTGTGTTAGGTTCTTCTGGTCATATGCTTGGCATGCAGTCATATGGCCTTCAGCTCCCGAGCTGAACCGAGAGCATCCGGCGCTTACAAGAAGGACAGCAGTCTTAAATTGAGCAAGCCAGTTCCCAAAGACCGGCCGGCGTTCAAAGCAATTCTGTCAGGCGAAGAGAAGATTCTTGTAAGTCGTCTCTCTGGGGCAGGTAAGCGACGTCGGTGGCGAGACGTGAAGCAACTGTTTGGCAGCTACACGGGACAAACCGTTCCGGTGTATTGTGCTGCAATGCAAGCTGCGTATCGGTGCGGCAAGTACAAAGAGGGAGCTACGTTTTATCGCAGACTGCGGGACTTTCCAAATGTCGCGGCTCAGCCGGTTGCGCTGCACCTAGGGGTGAAGATTTTTGGCAAACTGCGGATACGTGAAGAGGTGGACATGATCTGGAATGAGATCAAGGAGAATGGTTGGGTTGACGAGATCAGGGCCGCGGGGCGCATTGATGCGGCTGCAGAAATAGGCGACATCGTCTGTGCTGCGGAGGTCCTGGACTACATGGGCGAGCAATCCCTGAAAGCAGACATAGATCATTTCAACTCAGCAATCAATGCTTGCAAAAACGCCACGCCACCGAACAGACCAGCCGCGATGTTCTTGTACGAACGACTGTTAAAGGAAGGTCTACAGCCAACTATCTCCACGTTCACCGTGCTGATGGGTGCCCATAAGCAGGCACCTCTCAGTGCTGTTTTGAAGATCCGTGCCAAGCTTTCTGACGCGGGGCTAGAATTCAACACATACTTCGCTGACAGTTACATGAACGCATTGCTTCAGGGAAGGCCAGTTCCAACAGATCAGACGAAGGCGCTCGCTGCAGTGAGTGAAACAGATGCTGCTCGACTTCAGCAGGTTCGGCTGGCTTTGGACGAGTTTCAGAAGGAGAGCAACAATGTCATGACACCCCTCTGCATTCGCATTGACTCGGCACTGCGCAAAGTCATGCCTTGACCCTGCTTCTGACGCCGAGATCCGACTTTCTCGAGACAACTGCCTTAGATTTCTTGCCCCTTTGGTGGGGAATTGCCTGTGGCCTCAGTGGTCTGAAGCTGAAAAGCTGTACACAAGCCACTTCTCCATGAACCTAGCAGATCTGGCAGTCTAGCAGCCAACACTGCGGCAGAGCTCCATTTCTGAGCAGTGGTCGGTCGGACATTTTGAACCACATCCGAGATTCAGTCGCAAGAGCGAATAAGTTACGTGTGACTGGGGTGCAGGCCGCAGCAGTGGAAGCTAGCTAGCTGTGGCTCCTGCACCGGGGTTCTGTGCAGAGATTGCTTGGACAGCGCAGTAGTTCTGCAGCTTCCAATCTAACATGTTGACATTCCAAGTCCCAGCTTCCTCAATCATGATCCTTGACTCTTTGGGGTCTTGGTTTTCGTAGCTCTCAGACGAAGCTGCCAAAGAATCGAGGCTTCAGTTTGCGAATTCTGTAGAGCACTACAGAGGACTCGATAAATGGCTTAGGGTTTCTCAGAGGTTTAGCCTGGCTTTAGGTCTAGAGTTGCCCCTATAAGCCCTAATTAGACTCACCGAAACCACAAACGAAGACTTCGAAGTTTCGGGCTGAGTAGCAATCACGGGACCGAGTCGACACGAGCTCTGTGCAGGAACTACGGAAGCTCAAGGAGGACTGGATCTGCGGTGTGCTTGGTGTGCTGTTGACATGCAATCAGCACAGCCAAAAGACGCGCAGCCCGCCGATGTACCCGTCAAAGCCTTGATTTCCAGGATCCAGATGATGTTCCAGGCCTCAAAACAAACACACAAACACACAGACAGGTACTCAGGCTTCGGCCTCACTCCCATCTACAGTAAACAGTAAACCCCATAAAGTTGGAAACCGAGCTAAGGCCAAACAGTGCCGGGATTCCCTATATATGACTCTTAAGGATTGAGGCTATCGGGCTTCCAGCTTTTAGCTTCTTGATACCCCTTCAATTCGAAACCCTAAACCATGAACCTAGTAAAGCCTATTAGGGCAAGCACGCTTCACACACTAATCCATGAACCCTATAGACCCTAGACTGGTACCTTCATGTACCACTCAGAGGAGCTGGCGAAGACCAAGAAGGAGTTGCTGGAGGCGCAGGCCGGGGCAGAGGCCGCCAGCAAGAAAGCAGAGGCAGGGGAGCCTCGGGCTTTAATCGGTTTGGGTTTTGGGATGTGGCGCTTAAGGGTTCAGGGATCAGGGTTTGGAGTCTATGGTTTTTGGAGACCCATGGGCGTGGAGATGTCCTTCGGGGTGTTGATTCTTCTTCTTCCAGCCAAGCAATTTTCCACTGCGCCGCCTGGAGATCTTTTCTAAAATAAGTCCTGTCGGCCTTGTGCCAAGCTGCAGACCTCCCCACCCCTGACCCAATCCTTGGAAGCAGGAGCTTGGCGGCCTGCAGCAGGACCCAGCCGTAGCTTCAGTGGGCTTAACAAATCGCAGTAACCAGTGAAGGCTAAAGGTTCTCGCGGTCTTCGCAGACAGATGTATGTTATTTGCAGCACGTTGTAGGGCTTTGGTGTTCTCACGTGTCAATGCCAACTGAGGTTTCGAAACGTCCTTTCGGTTTGAAACGACGAGAATAGCATCACAAAGTGCTGTGGCCCCTTTAGGAGCTGCCTACGAGTTGAACAAGAGTCCATGGAACCATCAGTGCTGTGTTCGTTCTTGTGTTTGCGCCATTCTTTCGGGCCGTTGATGCGTGGTCTCCCATACGCGGCCCCTATCCAACAGCATTTAAGCATCATCTATCCGGCCATCAAGGTGTCACAGAAGTGTGAAAGCCAAGCCGCATCATACAGATAAACCTAGACTACGCTTGTCACTCTAACGACCGCCGGGAATCCTATCTTGGGCTCGCCAGCATCACGTGACGTGCCAGGAGTTGGAGGCTTTGCGGGCAGAGAAGGACGCATCAGTGAAAGAACAGGCGGGCAGAACGGTTTAGGGTTTAGTTTTTAGGGTTTAGGGATGCCTGTAAGTTTGCGTTCAGGAGGTCGGGTCGCATGCCTGAGGATAAGCTTTCTTGCCATGCAATGTCCATCTCACTTGTCCAGGAAGCTTATAAGTTGAGGATGGAGCCTGAACATGATTTTGCCGAGCAGCTTTCGAGGTGAAGTTCAATTCAATTCCATGAACAATGCTGTTCTCTGACCTCGAAAGCTGAATCGATTTAAAGTGTATTGTTGGGGCTCCTAGAGCTACTGTACTTTACTTCGGGGCCGAGGGAATGGGAGTTGAAGGCAGTTCGTTAGGGGCTGAAGGCGCGAGATTGAGGTTCTGGATGTCCAACGTTGAGGCATTGTGGACAAGCGTCTTAGATCTGCAGCCGCAAGGAAGTGGACGTTGTTGAAAGTTGAAAGCCGAAGCGAAGCCTGAAGCTTGCAGAGCAGAATCTGTCGGTCAGGACGAGCTCAAGCGGCAGCTGAACGAGCCTCGCCGGAGAGCATCGGAGCCCTGAAGCGCCTCCAAAGCCATCAAAACCGTGAACCTGGCCCTCACCCTGCCCAACGAATCGAAGCCGAGTCTTGAAAGTCTGTTGCCATTCCAAGGGGCCTTGGGTTGAACAGGAGCCCGGGCCGTTCCGTTGGGGTTTAACCTTGACTTGCAAAGTCGGAACTCATACTCCCGGGCTTACAGAGTATCCACTTCGCATCCGCCCTTCCGAGCTCGGGACACTGGGCAACTTTCCGGTTTGGTCGCTACTGCAGGTTTCCCGCAGGGCTTATATCAACCGATGATTTGAAGTACTTACTGGTAGGGTTTCTGCAAAAGGTCTGTTGTGAGTGCGAAGAACAGGGCTCCTTAGAATGTTGGTCAGTCTCCCTTTGAGGACCCTTTAGGGACAGTACCATCCCAACTGCTTAATACCCTATATATATAGTCTCTCAAAGACGAGCCAACGAAATTACGAACCTAAACCCGAACACTTAATGTGCACAGATTTTCCAAACAGATTGATGGACCATCCGCTCAGGAATCCAACCTGGCGACCAAGCGGGCAGAGAGGGAAAAGCGAGAAGCGATTGCTGAGGCGCAGCTTCTGGGCCCCATCCCTCTGAGTCTGATGCACTAAGCTCAGACCCGAAGCAAGTTCGCTTCAATACCACCAAAAAACCAACACTACTTGGCCCCACACCCCTTTCTGCTGCTCCAGTAGTCAGGCATTGCAAACGACAGCAGTTGTAGCACAGAGACAATCGAAACTTCAGTAATGCAACGCCGTCCACAGCCGAAAACGTGAACAGGACTTGGGACCGTGTCAATGTCAGCACATGCCTAAACCCTAAACCCTCCTTCAAAAAACCCACTAAAACCCTAAAAGTTGTCAGCACATATAAACCTGTCATCCCGAAGCTCTCGCACGCTCCCCTCGACTCCCCGAGTCAAAACCCAGAGGGCCGCCATACTAGTAGTTCTTTTTTGGAACTTGCCTCATAAGGTTCTAAATAACAACCCCAAAAGAGAACTACTTTGGGGCCTCCGGGGTAATTCTACCAATCTTCGACAGCTCCGCCTGGAAGGCAGAGCGCCTGGATGCGCTGGAGGTGCAGTGCAGTCTTAGCTTTTGATACGCGGCTTTTGGGACCATTATACTGTACTAGGTGGCAATTTGGGAAACTTTTTAATTTCCGTTATGGTTCCTATAGAGGTACCTGTTCATAAATACTTTTCAGAGCCCCAAAACTACAACCCAGTGTAACAATGATAATGAGGAACCCCCTCCCCACAAAAAAAGGTTAGTGTAGGTTTACCCTATAACTCAGGTAGCAAAAAGTCGGCAGGACACTGCTATACCTTTGTTTCTGCTACTTCCACATGCGTTGTAGCGCAGTTATTTCTTTGTTTGTGCTACTTCCACACGAGTTGTAACTTCTCTGAGCATAGTTGACCACGATCTTGTTGCTTCGTTTATGACCAGGGTCCCTTTAAAGTTCATGCTTGCGCTTGTGGTGACTGTTGCGGTTCATGGGGCTTAAGGCTTCCATTTTGGAGTTAAGCATGTGGGTTCAATCCATCTTCAGCATGTTTTTCTTTCTCCGGCTGCTGTAGAGGTCTGGCATATAGGGGCTATCATCGGATATCTTAGGGAGTAAAATCACTGTTCACTGGGCCCTTGCCACTCCGAGTTCGGGGGAGCGCCGCGACATGCGAGGACGAGCAGCAGCGTGCAGACCTTGAAGCTGAGAAGGAGCAGGTGTCGAACGCAGTGTCTGCCTTCTGCATGGAGCCCTACACCCTAATTAATCTGCTTTTCATTCCGTAGCTATTGGAGAGGCTTGCCATCAGCATAGAGAGTAGAGTAATCGGAGGCTCGCGGTGGAATGAAAGTAACCTTGTGAGTGTAGCTGTACAGAAATGATATGGTTCGAGTTGTTGGCTTCTGCGTTTCACGGCTGATACCACCGCTCCTGAATCGGGCATGAGCTGTAGACTTTACCCAGAGGCCCCATAGTATTACTTCATAAGATTCTTCTTATGAACCCCAAAAAGGAACTACCTTGGGGCCTTAGGGTAGACCTAGGATTGCAACGATCAAAAGCGCCCCTAAACCCTAAAACCTAAAAACCCTAAACCCTAAAACCCTAAACTGGCTAAGCTTGGAGGTCTTCGGTGCCGTGGCCTTCGATATCGTAGACACGGGGTGCCTTCTGAAGGGGTCAAAAAAACAAGGAGGGATGCATGTAGTATTATAGGGGCATAAATATTTACCAATATTACTTTGGTTGTTCCTTATTTTAATTATGCTATAATGGGCCCCAGAACCCTAAGGCTCTTTCATTACGTGAGGCAGGAGGTATGTTGGGATCCTCTAGTTTCCTGAAGCTCCCACTCCAAAAGTTAGGTTAGTTGCCGGACTTCGGAGAAGGGTTTGAGGTTTAGGGTTCTGGGCAGCAGCTGAAATTTGCTGCAGGGTTGCAACGCTCGACTTAGCCAGGGATGATAGGTTTCCGGAAATTATCATGGAAGGCCCGGAAAGAGCAAGAGGAGAAGGCGCAAAAGCAGGCTGAAGAGCATGAAGCCGAGACGCACGGCAGCAGAGTGGAAGACAACCAATATTAGCTGGTCCCTGAACCTGAAGCCAACACCCTGAAGTGGGTACTGAACCTGGGTCTCTGCATGCTGCTGCTGTTAGTGGTCTTATTGTTATTCGGAAGTTATTCATGTCCTCAAGCCGATCGGACATCGAAGCAGAGCAGCCAGCGCATTATCCCACAAACCCTGAAACCTTCAACCCTAGACCACGCATTCCTTACCTTTCTTAGGGGTGTGTCGGCATATAACCCTACCATGATCAAGAGATGAAGCTTTCTTAGGCCAGGGAAGCCAACAAATCTTTGTATCGCAAAATCAAAGCACCACGAAACTGTAGGTTATGCCACGTGAATTATATGCCACGTGAATTATGGCGGTAGGTTTGTGGATACCCAGACCGATTTCCACCGGATTGCTTGGAAAAGATCCTCAGCAAGGCGGAAAAAGCTCCAAGAAGAGGAGCGAAAGAAGCGCGTGGAAGCCAAGCAGCACTTCGAGGCGCATCGACCCTGAGAGAAAGGGGCTTGCAGGTAGGGTGGGGTTCATTTAGCAGCATTTGGGGCTTCTAAGGCCTTTCTGGCTTGCTAGAACGTTCAGGGCTTAGAGTTTCGGGTTCGGGTAGATTCTAATGCTTTTTCGGATGGGTCTCTTATGTTTGGAAGCAAGGGGTCTGGAGATTGGCTTTGGTCTACTTGTGTGCGTATGTCTGTGTTGGTTTCCTGTATAAGCTGGTTAACCTGAAGAATCACTACCGTCTGCCTTTGTGATTGTTGTAATGACTCGTCCCAATTCAAGAATACCCAGAGGCCCCATAGTAGTTCTTTTTTGGGATTACCCTATAGGACCCTACATATGAACCCACTATGGGGCCTCTGGGTAAGCTTCTTAAAACCCACAAAAGCCAGCCTTGGTCCCCCCCAGAATAGCTTCAACCTCGCTTTGTCAGGTGCCGCCCAGCGCACTGCCCAGCCCCAAACCCTAAGCAGACATGTCTCCAACATCACTCTGCAGTGGGCTCAAAATCTGGGAGGGGCTCTGCGAGAGTTCTCTTGAAGTCGTGAAGAGAGCCATGGCCTACACCCGCCAGCACATGGAGGACTGTCCCAAGTTGCTCCTTCTCTCTTGCCTGGAAGTCTGTTTTGAGTGTTTCTGCTTGCTCTGTTCTGTTTACCACTGGAAGAACTCTAGACGAGGACTACACCGCGGCCGCCGCACAATTTGAGGCACCTTGCACCAACTTTCAGAGTTGGGGCGCCAGGTTTCACTTTTCATTTTGGGAAGCGGGGGGCGAAGGGTTGAAGCTCTCGGACTCCAACCCATTTGAAGGTGAGGCCTGCGAAGCTGTCTCGGTTAAGAGTTTGGGGACCAGCTTGCACAACTTGTGGCCTTGTTTGATACAGGCTTTAGGCATTTAGGGTTTTGAAACACCCTACTTAGCTTTGAGGTCTTGGACTTGGAGCAGTTGGGGGCGGGGGGGACGTGGGCATCACGTAACACTGCAATCAGGAGCTATTCAAATCAGCAGAGCGGGATATTGCCAAGCTGGCAGGATTGAGTGCATAAGTGCGTAGTGTTACGGCCCTGCATGGATTAACCGCCCAACCGCCCAAGCCTTCCTCCAATTTTCTATTGTTCCGATGATAATGAGTCCCTTGAGTAAGGTTGTGGTGCGGAGCATGGGCGGATCGACCTTCAACTACCAGCTGGTGACTTGGCCGGATTTCAGAACAAGCCCCTGGCGGAGGTATGCCAGATATGCCACGAAAGTTCTCGCAGGTATTAGTTATAAGTCCTTAAACCTAGAGCTTTTTTCAAGAATCTAGAATCTGAACCCCTAAAACCAGGATTTGCACCGGAAGCTCCCGGGAAGCGGAATTTGCCCCCGGAAGCTCCCAGGACAAGAATGCCATCGTCGGGGACTTGAAGCAAAGGATTTCGAATGCGACAAGGGCTGCTCAGCGGCATTCGCACGACGGAGCCCTGCAGGTCCCAAGCCTCGAAACCCCGGGGGCCCCAAACGAAACCTCTTAATCTTCAAAGGCCGCACGGCTGGCGTCCCCTGCATAAACGCAAAGGTATTATGTCTAAAAGCAGACATACCTACACCTATGCGAGTATTCTAAATTCAACAGATGTCCCCCATTATCTTGTGTCCTCCCCCTTCAACGAGTGTCAGAGTTTTGAGGATTGATGCTCAGCGTTCAGGGCTTACTTCGGGTTTGGAGCTTTGGTCTCGGGTTGGCCCGGTCCAGGAACGAAGCTTCATACAGCTGGTGTGCGAATTCCTGATCTCCCTAGGTACTCGAAACACGTGGATTTTGGGATATTCAGTGTTGTGGATGATGACAGGAGCTTTTTGTCCACCTGCCGCAGGGGTTGAAGTTGATTCAGGTTTGAGGTTTGTCTTCGGTAGTCTGGTAAAGAAGAGCCAGCCAGAGGAGCATCCCCAGTATCGTCACCGTATGGGTTGTTCCAGAGTTTAGCCAGCGCTTGGTGGGATTTAGTTGGGATACGGTTAGGCTTTAGGGGGTTGGACAAGCCAAAACTCAGCGCAACAGGCCCATCTATGGTCATCCTATGTCATCCTACAGATGCAGCAGAGGTAGCTCAGTATGTGTCTCAGAAACTCCCAGCCAAGGTGAAGTATCACGAGATCAGACTTATCCATCAGCAGGTCACACAGGCCATGCCTCTGCAGTAAGCACGGTTGCACGTAGCAACCAGGATAAGCACCCAGACCTTGTTGTTACGCTGATGCGCGGGGAGTAGCTCGACAAGAGATGCCAGTGGCATTCTGCATGCACAGTGTGTACGCATCGGATACAGCTGCCGCTCGAAGTTTTCTTCGCCATCTTCAAAAAGGGGACCCCGAACACAGACAGGCCGTACATCAAAAGATCCTGACCCTTGGGGGTCTTCAAATTGGCATCCCACTGCTTGGGGCCTTCTGAGGCTCTGCACCACATTTCCTACGATTCCTTTGCAGCCCTCCTTACCGTTTGCCGAATCCTTGCAGTCGGGACGGTCAAGACTTCGTCGGGCAATTCCCCACACATGAGAGCTTGAGCTTGGTGGTGCCAAACGAGCCTGAGGCCTCAAACTCTGATCCCCAATCCTAAACCCTCAAACTCAGCCGCAATTCCTAAAGCCTTTGCAACAGTGTTGCAGCCCTAAAACCTGCTGCCGTCTGTGGGTTCACGACTTTCGAAGAACCCGAGCATGGAGCCACTCAGGGAGCCATTCAACGAGATAGTCACAGAGTCTACTTCCAGCTGCAGGTGCTGCTTTGAGGGAATGATCTGAGGTCTGCAACCCCTGTACAATAAATACGAACATCGATGCTCGAAGCTCCGGTCGCACTATTCATGCCCCAATGTTCGGATTGAATGGCCCTAAGCCCCAAAACCCGAAGCCCTACACCCTACATTGGGATTGGAGGGCCGTGAAAGAGCTGCGACGGAAGGCCGGGCATCAGAACGTGGAGCCGGATACCTTCGACAAGCTACACAGGCAGGTTTTCGGGTTTGGGGTTTAGGGTTCAGGGCTTGGGGTTTGAGGCGGTTTCAGTGCCTCGATGGGCGGCAGCACTCTGGCAAGACGTTAAAATCTCGCTTATGGTTCCTACCGAGACCTATTCACAAAGACTTTCAAGGGCCCCAGAACTACAACCCAGCTTTAGATGGGTTTACGTTTTAGGGCTTGGCGCCACTCACTTAAGACACTTCCAGCAGCCGAGTCGAACCCTCTACCAAAGGATCGAAGTTCACCGAACTAAGCACTATGCCGATGCTCATCACAGCGATTTCACTTGATAGGGTTTAGGTTTTTTCCTCCGTGTACCCCAGCTCTTCAGTCTGCAAGCCTAAACCCTAAACCCCTAAACCACTAAACCCTAAACCCCTAAGCCCCTAAACCCCTAAACCCTAAACCCTAAAGGTAGAGCTGATGATGGAGACCCCGAGCCCTAACTCGAGAGAACCCCCGACAAGTTCCTGCATGGTCCCCTTCTCAAAAGCCACATTCAAAACCCAAAGGGTCCTATGTACTGTTATGGGGGATACCTCCCCAAATCATATGAATTCCTATTATAGAGACCCTACATTCTACTATATAGGTACTTTGGACCGTTTGGGAAACGAAGTCCTTTTGAGGATCCGAAGACCTGGACCCTTCGTGTCCAGGTGCCCAGAAAGTACATAAATGTTACTGTGGCCCTTCAGCCATAAGCGTACTTGGTACAGTAACGTACAGTTGAATTATGGGGGTATATACTTACATGGAACCCTTGGTAGGTACAGCTAATTTATGGGAATAGGGAATAGATACCTGGACCCTAATCCTTTGTGGGAATATACTTACATGGCACCCTAATCCTTAAAGCCTGTTAGGTACAGGTAGGTTACAGTTACCTGATGGGAAGAGGGAATAGATGCCTGGACCCTGCTTTTGGAAACGTTTCTTCCATGGGTTCACGAGGCTTCTGCCGAGCACTCGCGCCGGTCCTTTGGAGATTCAGCTGGTCGCAGCTTCGCCGAGTTGTTCTTGGGTTGGCGTGTGGGGTTTAGGGTCTAGGATTTTTTAGGTGGGTTTGGGGAGTTAGGGCTGTCAGGAGGTATGGCTTTGCGATTTAGGTTTCAGGACTTGACTTGGTTTGCCGGGTGGCTTTGGGGGCTCGAGGGCTGCATGCTTTGGGGTTTATGTCGGGATGTGGGGCTTCGGGTGTTGAAGTTGTCAAGATGGCTCGATGGCCATTATAATTTGTAAGTGTCTTAGGGAGGTTGGGGCGCCTTTTCAGCTTTGGAGCGAGGCCTTCAGATGTTTGCGGTTTTTGGGGTGGAGGTTAGACTAGAGCTCAGGGGAGTTGTTGGGGGCTCTCAGGAACCAAAGAGTGCCCTAAGTCCCAAACTCCACACCCTAAACCCAAAACCCTAAACCCCAACCCCTAAACCCTAAAGACCCCTTACAGAGCCCTTTAAAGGAACCCTTAAAGGAACCCTATAAACCCCTAAACCGAGAGGCTCTGAAGCCAAGGTCACGGCGTCGTGTCGTTGGTGCAACGTCCGACTTGAATCGTCATCCTTCTTGGAGACTGACATCGGAGAGTACTGCTCCCTGGGCCGATTTGTGTATACATATGGGGGGTTGTCAAACTTATGGTCCTTTTTGGGGTACCCTAAATATTTGGTGCCGTATGATAATAAGGACCCAAAAAGGGATCCTAATTTTGACAACTACCTCCCTGGGCCGATTTGTGTATACATATGGGTATTGGGTTTAGGGCTTTGGGTTCTTATATGGTTTGGGCTATTTGGGGTTTTAGGGGATTTGTGTAGATATGGGATGGGTTTTGTTTAGGGCTTTGGGTTCATACATGGTTTGGGCTAATTGGGGTTTGGGGTTTAGGGTTTGCAGTCGGGTTTTGGGTTGACCATTTCTGGTTCTCAACAGTTGGCAGTAATGTCCAAATCCCTTCTGTTCGAACATATCCCACAACATCC